GAGGTTGGTGGTGTGGTGCATGAATTAGGTAAGCAAATCCGTCATATCCGAATTAGGAGATATATCCAGCTAACCTGCATGATTTTGGTTTGGGAATTGCAGCAGAATCAGATTCGTCACCCCTTTTTAAATCTATCTCTTGCATTGTAGTGGCACATGCATGCTGTGGTATGATCTTGATCTCATGTAGAAATAAGCTCACGAAAATTATAAACAATGGTTGATGAGTTGGTGAATTATTGAAAAGAGTGATGTTGGAATAACAAAGTTAGTTACTAGAAGAAACTAGAGAACACCTCTATCAAGAAAAAAAATCACGACTTAAATGTTAAAAAACTATGAATTTACTGGTTACAAGAATATAAACAAATTTATTACTCCATAAATGTTAAGAAAAATGCACAGACAAAGGGTCGAAAATGAGAAGTTCCGAACCTTTTGGGCTTGACCGGTGGAGCAGCCCCAACCATGAACTGACCCAACCCAGTGTCAACATTAGGCCAACTAAACCCACCACGCTTCAGGTGTTCTCGTGTTTCCTGAAGCATATATCAGATTCAATTTTAGCGTATCAAGACAAGTATGATAAAATTATACTGCCTGAAACGAGAATATTTGCTACAAGAAGCAAAATGGGAGTTTTTATTAGCTATCAAGCAGAGAGTATCATATATGAAATCTGGATATCCAATAAATGCAAAGCAATTGAATGACAACTTGAAAGATAGACCTAAATGAGAATCCAGAGTCATTTGCTTAACTATTTTGGCATCACTGTCCAATCAGTCTTTCTCATTTAATTTTACAAGTTCAATCTGAAATTTTACAATAAACTTTAAAGGTAAATTTCTTGTTAAAGCCAATGCTATCATTTGGGAGGAAATAAAAAAAGAAAGAAAGAAAATAAATAAATAAATAAGGCAATTTAGTTCTTCACCACGGTGTAAGGCATTATCAACTCTTAAGAGCTTCAACTGGAATTAACAAAATGGAACCTCAGATGTAGTAGCAGTCCATACACTCCACAAGTGCCTTTTTGCCCTTTTCAAATAAAGCAGCCACATTTGAAGGTAAATCACTGATGTTCATATATACATGATAGAAAAGCCCACCTTATGAGTTGTCCCATCTCCTTCAGCAATTTCAACTGCCTATCCAACAAATATACATGTGTGTGTGTAGAGAGATAGAATATTATTTAAGCTACCAACGGATCAGTGGCTTAGCGATATCGGCCTCTTACTTTTCAAAAGAATGTCAGGCGTTTAAGTCTCAGAAGAGACAAATGCGTGTGAGTACCAACTAAAAAAAAAACGAAAGAATATTATTCAAGCTTACTCAGTTTGACATCCGTTCAGAAAAAAAGAAAAAAACCAATGATATCAAGATACATGTCCCAGTTGCTCAGCTCTCTAGCCTCCAAAAAACCAACAGCAGTGGTAATCACCTCCTTTTCCCTTTGCAAATCATTCCAGCTTTCAACCCCTCTCTTGAACCTTACAAGCCTGGACTCCAGTAAATCAATTTTCCATGAGCTACCATCAAGTTAAAGCAACTTTTGTTGCAAATACATAAAACCAGAAGTCAATAGTACACCTGTCAAACTGCCATTGTCAGACGGGTCAGACTAACTTGCAATACACTATGCATTGCATTATTGTCACACAACGCACACTTAATCATACATAGCTACATAAAATTGTGATTATGTTCCAAAGATAAAAGGACACAATATGACGTTATACGCGCGGTGTGGGAGAGAAGACTGGAGACAGTCACACTCAACTACGATTTATGCTCACATTGGTCTGACAAAAGATTTATGCTAACTGTCAAGCTATATGCAACCTTCCTCGTTTTTCCGAACCTAGGATTGACTATGTAAAAGATAAGTCACTAAACATAACAAAGAGAAGGAAATGCAAAATGGAGAATATATTGCGAAGATGAGATGATAATAAAGCTGAAACACGCTGAGCAATGTAGAACACACTGATCTATAAATACTCTCTCAATTCTCCACCTCATATCACCAAACTTCTCCATCACCTAAAGCTTTGGTTGGGAGCTCTGCTTTGATTTTACACCCCATTTTGAGGCCACGTTTGGATCATTCCAACACAAATTATCTAATTTATTTTTCAGTGAAGGGGTTATTTACATGTTCAATCAATATGCTACTTAGATAGAGAATTAGGGTGCGCTTAATATAAAGCGAACACCAAATGTAATGTCACCTTATTGCACCACGTTAGAAATTTAGGCTGCACAGCTACATGCTCCCTTTTAAGTCAAATTGACTGTTGACAACAGCACAACAACACAAAGTTGGATTTACCAGACGCTGCCACTGCTATAGTCGCAGCTTCTCTGAATTTGCCATTTCATGCTCCCCATTTTCCAGGAATCTTTTATCGGGTTTAGCCTTGAATCTGTAGGCAGCAACTTTGTTGTACACAAGCAGAACAAAAAAACATTACATGGCAGGCCATAAGCCCGAGAAGCTGTGTAAATAAACAAAGAAGATGGTGGAAACATTAAAATGTAAGAAAGTAAAGCATAGCGAAAAAAGAAATTTTCATACATAGTACATGCTTATAGGTTTATTGCGGAAAATACAATTCGCTCAACTCCAGAAATGCAGATTAATACTCTCCACTTATTTTAGATCTTCAAAGAAACAATATAACTTCGTTTAGAAATAAAAGTAGTTCATCTGCTTTTGTTTACTTTTCCTAATGCAACAAGCTCATTCTGAACAAGATACAACTTTAAATATCTTAGATTTAAGAAAAGGTTAAAAGGTCTTGAAAAATAATATCTCAAGTATACAGAAGTTTGCAGATAATAATATTCAATATGCCACAAATTCAAGAGATATAAAGGAGTATCTTGTTCAAAATGAGCTTTTCTCAGGTTAGAAACTTAGAACTTGTATAATACAAGAGTGCACTCTGGAAAATGCAATCCCATATATATGAATTTAGACAAGTTTTAATCCCTAGGAGAGTACTCCTACATTTGCTATTCTTATTCTTTAGCAGGAGAATATTAAAAAAAAAAAAGGACGAAAAAAGAAAAGAAAAAAAGAATTACTCACATTGAGGTAAGTTGGCTCTGACTCTGGGTAAAGCAACCAAGATTGCAACAATTACTATCATTGCTGCTGCCACCAGTGCAACACACAACCAACATCACCACAACTAGAATCGCCACCACAAATTGATGCATTTCCACCAACCTCACCCACCACTATTGTTGCCACCGCCACCAACACCACTTTTTAGTGAGATCCTCTCAAATGGTTGAGACACAAATCTATTACTATTTTAACTTTCCGTAAAAGTAATTTTTAAAGTAATTAAAGAATATACTACTTATATTGAGTACCGAGCTTAAACTGTCATCCATTCACTAACAACTGGTTTGTTAAGACAGGTAAAAACATTAGAACTCTTTTCAGTTTTAATATTAAAAAACTTTGACATGTAGTTCAGTAATTATTAGAAATCTAACATAGCCATGTTACCAATATATCATCTGCAACATCAAAAATAGCTATCTGTTATGTTTGATGCTCCACCAAAATGCATCTCAAACATGTACTGAACATTGAAGAATTGCTCAAAGACAGTGAAACTAAATGACTCCTGACGGCACACCTGGTACATAATTTCCAAATTTAGAAAAGATCAGAGGTGACAAACATAAAAGTGAGATTGTAAATCAGATTGAATACATCCACATCAAAAGGGAAACACCAACACTACAAACCAGATGGCAAAAAAAATCTTCCAACTTATCAATTAGCAGTTATTTCAAGTACCAAAAAATAGAGTAGAAGAATACCCAAAATTGGCAAAATAAAACATTAGTTTACGAGACAACAGGTTTCATCCGCTCAGAAAATCACAAGTAAAGCACCGGCCCTTGTATCCAAAAGTAGTACATATATGTAAAGGAGGGGACTTTAAGCCCCACATGACTGTTTTTACATTTATGAAACGTTGTACAGATATTCCTCTAAGTAGCAAAAAGATAAAAAAAAAGTATAATTTAAATTCTTGCAAAATAAAGAAAATGTTTCACTCAATAGTCACTCATATCTTCCTACTAAATGATGTCAACATTTTCTGCCCAGAAACTAGTCATACAACATGCTCAAATAATCTATGTCTGCCAAATGTTTTGCTACAACCAAAATTTTTTAAATTATAGACTTGTGCAGAAATAACTTATCAAATGGCCCAAAATCATCCATTCATGTCGATATTGTTCCTATCAAATCTCTACCTAGATTCCCTTCAGAGGTAAATCTGTACCAGTAAGAAGATGAAAAACATAGAGATATTTGTTAATAATCAGTCATTAACTATATTCTTCTGATATGGGTGTAAGATGAGAATGGGGGACTTTATCTTCAATAGCGTTGTTTAAATTCATAACTTTTGCAATTATTGAACAGATCCATACATCTGGAAAGCTACTAACAGGACTTGAATAATGTTTAAAGATGTTCATCCCACCATACACTTCACCATCTTAAACCAAACAATTTGAACACTGATAATCTCTCAACTCAGAAAACTAATCATAAAATAATAGAACCGTGTTGGTCCACAGAAATGCTAATTCAGAATTCATACATGCATATACCCTACTAATAATCTGGTTCTTAGGAGTAAATCTGAGAGGGACTCTTCTATACACAGAACTAAGCTTTTTCAGCATTTCATTTGTCCTGAAATACAAGCGCTTGCAAGCCTTGGATTAACCTTATTCCAATAGAATTCATTAGAACAAGTGACAGTCTAGAGGAACTCCTGGCTCATCTACGCCATGAAATAACCGCAGATGTAAAGCTAATGTTTCAAGTAAACTTACACATTTGACCAAAAAAGGGGGGAAGGGGCATATAATATCATCCTATGACCTGACCTCACAATTTCTCTTGAAAAAATAACAAAGTGATACTAATTAAAGAACACTCAAATCAAACATACACCAATTGACATTCATCTTGCTTCATTGAATTACTTATCAAAATTACAATGAGAGAATACACATGTCAAAACCCATCTGGTCATTTGTACAAAAGAATTGGACAAAAAATTATAAAAATTTACATTATTACAAACTAAAATAAAGGAGCAGAGAAATCACAATTCCCCACCCGTGGAGTAGTTAGTTTTTGGGAGACTGGAAAGCACTAGATTGTGCAGAGTACCTCCCTGAAGGAAGTGAAGAAGATTCCCAAATCCTATTAGCATGATGTTTTCTCATAGTCATTACGTGTACCTCTAACTGTTGCAGCATGTCAATGAGGCGCCAATTCTTCTGCTTAAGCAGCATCAGCTGTTTCTGCAATTCAACAAACTCACTCGTCATGATCTGCTCACACTCATCGATCACGGCCTCACTAACACCCTCTTCCAACAACCGCAGCCTCAACGTTTCTGTTGACACACCAACTTTGTCCAAAGGAGCCATTAATTCACTGTTGGACATCCTGGGAAACATTTCTTTCACAGACTGCAACGCCTGCATCCAAGCCTGTCGATCTTCTTGCGTCTCAGCCCTCAAATGCAGCATCTTAGTACCTGTAAAAACTGTAAACCTCTTGCTGTCCCATTTGCTCTCACAGATTGATGAAACCTACAAAATACAAATCATTTACACTTGGTAAAAAGACAACTTGATATGAATTATGTCCCGACTTCATACTAAATCAAACTATGATAGGCACACAGAAAGCATATATATTTTATATATATGTCACTTATAATTACCCATGAAAAAATTAATATAATGTCCTTATTAGGATATCCTAATAGAAATTTGGACAAATTCAAAGCAGGGGTAAAAACTGTATCTTTCTAATATACACAGAACAAGAAGATTCCATCAAGCATGAATTGACTCAATCTAGTATCTATAGTCAATAAGGCAGTGAAATTTTTTCCATAAAACAGCAAAAGAGCTAAACTGAAAAATGCAATAGAAACAGGAAAAATATTCCTCTTGTTTTCATATATATAGATATTCTGCTGATTAATCAAAATAAAAAATGCAATAGAAACAGGCAAAATGTCCTCATCAATAGGTGTATAGATGTTATGACGAATTAGAATGAAAAATGCTATTTACAAATTAGAATTTCAATGTGAACCTTGAGATGAACTTCGCCAATGGGATTGAACAGAAGCTGAGAGCTACAGCTACCACCCTTGTGAAGAGAGATTCGCCGGAGCGACATTTCTCCGATGAGTCTCAACCCTTTCTGAGTCACTTGACTCACCACAATCTTATTCGGTCCATGGATCTTGTAATACGACAGAACACCATCCTGCAACACGAACCATCTAGGTCGCCAACCTTTACCGTAATTCACCCACTTATAAAGAATACCAGAAACCCTAACATTTGCTCTATCTACATCAATACTCCTCGACTTCCCTTGTTCCTCACACAACAATTGCGATACCTCGCGAATCGACGGCAGCCGAGACACCGAATCCGCGGCCGAACTTCTCTGACTCGATCGACCGTTGTTGCTGTTGCTGCTTTGATTGTGGAATTGTTTGTTGGCGTGATTCGCTATGTCAGATCTAACGCCGCCGTTGGCGGCGGAAGTCTCCGTATGCATGACTAGTGGTTCCGGCGAATTAGACGGGGACGATTGAATCGCGAGATTGGAGGTTGAAAAGAGGAGGCCGCTGTGGTGGTTTTTCGGTATGACCGATGGAGAAGTTTCATTCTCTGGAGGGAGAAAAAGTGAAGATGATTGAAAATGGAAAATGCTAGGTTTGAAATTATATAGGAGGGAACGGTTATATACTGATAATTATAGATATCAATATGTGTAAGAGTGATAGAGGAGGAACTACGAGAAGTTCGCTCGAACACGTAATTGCCGAATTGGTGGTTTCGCCGGAAGGGAAAGAATCCGGTGACCCATGCACAGGTGGCTGACGTACACAATTTAATAAAAATTACAGTACAAGGATTAAAACTTAAGTTACACAATTTAATAAAAATTACATGTCTTAACATTCTTCCACGTCATTTTTCAACTCTCATGGAACGTGACCAAATTTGAGAACGGAGCGTAAAAATGACAACATTAAGTCACAAAGAGCGACATTGGAAACAAAAACACGCATTTATTGTGTGACTTAATTTGCACTCTCGTGATCTTCTGTTTTTGGTTACTTAAATATTTACTAAAACCCAAGCATATTTTTGCAATGTAGAGTAACATAGTGTGCAATTAAATAGAAAATACAATACAAAACAACAATGGCAAAGCCAGCTAATTAGATATTCTTACAGTAATAACTTTTCTGCATTATGTACTAGAAACTAAACCTTTTTCACGGTCTAAAAAAAAATTCATCTAACATTTAATTTAATTTAAAGACCACATAAATTAGCAATCATACACGCCAATTGTGTGTGATTTTCTTGTGAAAAAAAAGGAAAAAAATTAGCATCATGCACCAGTCAATATAACTCGTTTCTTTCCCTTCTATTGGGACGGATTTGATATTATCTTAATAGGGTGCGAGATGGGATTAAAAAGAGAGTTTAAAATCGTAAAACTCCGAACTTATCTTGATTTAATAAAATAATATATAAATAAATAATCTTTTATTAGCTACAATATTTTTTCCTTCAATTTTTAAGATAATTTAAAATTTTAAAAACATTTTTGTTATCACAATTGTTAAATATTTAACAATACTAGTTCATAATTTTTTTCTACAAAATTTATCTTAAATTTGTTTAAAATTGAATTTATTAAAACGGAATAGAAACATATGATTCATGTAATTGATCTTAAGTAATTGAAAAAAATGTTTAATTGTTGTTGTTCAAACTTTTTTTTTTTTTTTTGTTAAAAAAATATGTATACCAAACGCTAACTCGCCTGGACTCCGATGCAAGATCACACGAAACGAAATAAAAAGAATATAATTTATATATATATATATATATATATATATATATATATATATATATTTTTTGTAAAGGGATAGTCCGCCCCCGAATCAAGTATTATCTCAGAATTTCTTAGGCATCCTATGGAAAATGACTTCATCAAACTGCCGAATGAGGCCTATTCTTCTTCTTCTTCTTTTTCTCTGTTTTTGAATATATATATATATATATATCATGTGTTGGCAAATTACCTTTTTTTCCCCTAAAAGATAACGGAGAATTGTGCATCTATTCAATATTTTAAGGTGATATTCTTTGCAGAACTAAAGAGTGCATTTCAAAATATGATTGATTCCCTTTCTTGTAATGTATAGTGGCTTGCTCTGAGTGATGACATGAGAAGGGTTGTAAAACTTGACGTGGGGTTCATATATTAAATGTTTTGCACCAAATATATGAGTTATGTATGTTAGAAGAAGAGAAATGTATAATTTGTGCCTGTGTAGGCGTGGATTATGAACAAGAGATGGAGGAAAAGAATAGTAAAATGGGAGTGAAAATTTGTCTATAAATATGTATGAACTGTGTTGAGTTCAATACACCGAAACAAGAAGAAATAATAGAAAGCTCATTTCTCTCTTCGTTCTTTCTCATCTCCTTCGTTTTATATTTCTTGCACTATATTTGCTCTATATTTATAAATAAATAAATAAAAGAATATACATAAATATGTATGAATTGTGTTGAGTTCAATACACCGAAACAAGAAGAAATAATAGAAAGCTCATTTCTCTCTTCGTTCCTTCTCATCTCTTCCGTTTTATATTTCTTGCACTATATTTGCTCTATATTTATAAATAAATAAAAGAATATATATGCTCTATATTTATAAATAAAAGAATATATATGCTCTATATTTATATATATATATTCTTTTATTTATTTATTTATAAATATAGAGCATATATAGTGCAAGAAATATAAAACGGAGGAGACGAGAAGGAACGAAGAGAAAAATGAGCTTTATATATATATATATATATTCTATTATTTATTTATTTATAAATATAGAGCAAATATAGTGCAAGAAATATAAAACGGAAGAGATGAGAAGGAACGAAGAGAGAAATGAGCTTTATATATATATATATTCTTTTATTTATTTATTTATAAATATAGAGCAAATATAGTGCAAGAAATATAAAACGGAGGAGATGAGAAGGAACGAAGAGAGAAATGAGCTTTATATATATATATATATATATATATATATATATATATATGGCTACTAGCATTGGTAAATTGCTGAAGGCATGAACAATTAGAAACAAAGGACCCCATTCACTTACTAGCTCTATAAATACCACCCTCTCACCATCTCCCTCTATACAAACAAAATCCTCCAAGCAACCACAATCGTTCTTAACTGTTGCTTCCTGCTGATTATACATTTTGAAAATTCTCAAGCCAATGGGTGTCACCACAATTTCTGAGGAATATACTTACACAATTCCTACAGCAAGATTGTTCAAGGCATCGATCCTCGACTCTCACAACCTGATCCCAAAACTCATGCCACAGGCTATCAAAGGCATTGAGATTCAAGGCAATGGAGGGGCTGGCAGCATCAAACAGATCAACTTTGCTGCAGGCTAGTTTGCTTACTCACACACACACATTCTAATGCAGGTAGCACGTTGAATCAATTGAAGTACCGAATTGATGAGCTCAATGAAGAGACATTCACTTACAACTATACTCTAATTGAAGGTGATGCCTTGATGGACAAGCAGATTGAATCGATTTCTTATGTGGTTAAGTTTGAGCCCTCTCTCAATGGTGGAACTGTCTCTAAGATGACAAGCAAGTATTACACCGAAGGCGATGTTGAGCTCGCAGAAGAGGGCATTAAGGCTGGCAAGGAGAAGGCCATGGGAATGTACAAGGCTGCTGAATCCTACCTCCTGCAAAACCCTAATGCCTATGCTTAATTTTCTTGAGTCTATGTAGTGCTGCTTTTTAACTTTTTATTGCTTTTGGTAAAATAAGAAACCCACCCATGCTTATGCTCATGAGTGGACAATAAATTTCCTGTGTCATGAGAAAACCTAGTCTAAATAAATAATTGGGTACTTGCTCTATTATTTAAGCTGGATGGAATAAGTTCTCTTTACCAATAAATGCATCAATTTTAATCAGGCATTCGAGTCAAAGAAACTTGGGTTTTATTCTTACCAAAATTCATTTATGGCAACTATAATTATCCAAAAAAGATTTAATAAAAGATACACATTCTCTTGCTACGAACAGGTGAAACGTGGTTGAATGCAACGGACGATGCCGAGGAGTCTTCTTCAGGCCAGTTTTCTTCTGACTAGTCCTTTGAAGAAGTCAAAACTGTTGCCAAAGGTTAAATAAAACCGTATCATTACCATATAAAAACCTTGGTCAGAAAATACAGTAATATATTCCCAGGAAGGAAAAAAAAGAAAAGACACATTTCTTTAATGCTTTGAAGGTAAAAGTACAAGAAACAAAATGTATTTCTAATATGTCATGATAAGTAACAGCCTTTCTTTTAGAATATTATTTAGTTCCCTACGAAGATAAGAAAATCTACGAGAAAAATTGCACGACAGAGGGAGACATAATATATATGCATGAGATCACATCAATACATACACTTTCATCATCGTCGTCGTCATCCTTGCATTTATCCAATATGAATGTGGTAGCTCAACAAGTCATTTCCACTATTATATTTAACTTCATTGTTAGTTTTGGTTGGCATCTCAGTCTCTTACATTCTTGTAATGTTCCCAAATTGTTCCATTTTCCGATTTTTGGATTTTTTTGTTTTTGTAAGGGCATTTTCGTCTTTTGCCTTTTTCGTACCGGACACTGTGGAGTGTACCGGGTGTGTCAGTGAGTTGATTGAGACATTTCATTGAGTCCAGAACTCTTTGAAATAAAAAAGTGAACATTTTTACATTTTTCAGTTTTTCGAGCTGGACGGTCCCGTGTGGGACCCGTTACTGGAATTGTTGCATATGGGGATTTTATTTGGATCCATTAGCATCACATGCATTTTATTTAATGTGTTATATAAGGTTGTGAAATTGTTAAATGTGTATATATATACATGTGGTGTAAAATAAAAACAAAAGAAAAAGGAAAAATAAAAGAAAATTGGTGGGACCCACAGCCCCTTTTTAAGTGGTCATGAGACCACATCTTGGTTTCCATATTTTTCTTCTTTTCTTCCCCTCTTGGTCTCTCTCTGCCCCCTCATTCTAGACTTCTCTTTTTTCTTTTGGCTTCCAATCTTCAATTCTTGATTACTCCTTCCATACTTGTATTTTTGGGTGCCGTTTGCGACAAAACAGAGAGCGCAGCGAGATCTACAAGCGGGTGTAAGCAATTTCAGCATTTGTGCATCCTAGGATTTCGAGTTTTGAGACCCATTTTGAGAGTTTTTCTACAATTTGAGGTAGGGATGTTCTAATACATAAATTCTTGTGCTTTTGTGAGTTTTCTTGTTTAATTTGATGTTAAGCATGCTCAATTTGTATAATCTCTTGCAAAACTAGTTTAAATGTCGGTTATGGAACACATGACTACTTATTACTTGTTGTGTAGTGATTATATATACTTATGTGAAGTTAATTTTGTGTTTTAAATGTTTACCATGTTAAATTGATGTTGATTGAAAGCATGAGTTATGTGTTTTGAAAAAAAATAAAATATGTTGGATAGTATGTGTGAAAATTTTATTATTGAATTGATGATTTGAGACATGGAGCATTCTTACATCCATTGGGAAGAGAAATGGGAAAAGTGTTTTCAAAACAAAGGAAATTAAATTTTAGGAAAATGTTTTCTAAAAGCGTTGCCAAAACCCGGACGCCTAAGAGGCGCCTAGTGGTCCATGGTATTAGTGTGATCTAGAGGGGGGATTAGAGAGAGACTCTAGTGTGGTTGAGCTACCTAGACGACGCCATGGAGGTGCCATGTGGTTGGGGAAAAACTAGCCAACCCCTCCCTCGTGACGCGTTGGAGGTGCCTTGGGTCGGATTACACTAACGGTTTGAATGTTGAAACGGAAATGTTTCGGAAATGTGAAGCGACATGAGCATGGCATTGCACTTCATTGGCATACATGGCGTGATTGTGACTTGGATGGTATATGTGTTTATATTGGATGTTGTGGTTATGATATACATTTCCGGTATAGTACGATCCCGTTTTCTTGTTTTCTATTCTATACGTGGATTCACGGGGTCATAAAAAGTGTGTCTTAGACACTTCCTACTGAGCCTATACTCACCCTTATATTATTAACATTTTTCAGGACACGGAAGGGAAGTGGCGGACGACGATCCACCACAAGTTTAGACGAGATTGGACACCTGTTTTATTTTTGCTATATTTTGTAATAGAACTCTAATATTTTGTAAATGTAATCATTTTGGGAATGTGATGTAATAATTGCATTGTGCGTTGGGACAAGATAGGTTAGTTTTAAGGCCTAGTGAGGCCATTGCATTTTTATGTATTTCAACAGGTTGTAGACAGACTTTTTGTGCGGAGGTCATGCCGAAATTTTATATATTTTATTATTATTATTTTGGTATCTTTTTGGGTCGTTACAAATTTGGTATCAGAGCAATGGTTTGAATACCATTAGGACGACCGGTAGACGTCTACTTGGGATTGCATGGGGAAGTTGAATTGCATGATTATGTGCTACGTGTTAAAGTGTTTAAATGTTTGAGAGACATGCCTACTTGTTTACTTGCTTACCTGTTTATTTGCTTACGTGATCACATGCTTATATTTTTACAATATTGAGGGCATGCCTAATTGCTAAATGCTTACGTGTTTAAATGCTAAAATTTGTGTTACATGGCCATGTACGAGGAATAGTTAGATGATCTAACCGTGTAAATGAAATGTGAAAGAAAAAAAAAGCATGTTGATTGTGTATGAGTATGGTGACGAGAAGTGGTAGGCACGGTGTGTGCAGTTTTAATTTAAATGCTAATGTGACAAGTAATGAGCATGGTATATGTCAACGTTTTTCGTGTAGTATTATGGGTTTCATTCATTTTGTATATGTATATGGCTTTATTCTTATGTGGTTATACGGTTAAGCATTGGGATGGTTGCTAGTACGATGGAGTACTTGTCACGACATTGAGAGTCGTGTAAGTTTTAACTTGAGTAGACGAGGAGCTCGGTTGCTCTAGGGTTGTTTGGGTGCCGGTTCTTGTCGAACTAATAGCGTGGGCTTCTGGCTCGTGGATTGAGCTATTTGGCATATAGTCATCCTGATCTTCTTAGATGCATTTTGTGCGGTGCTTAGAGCACGACTTTATGACAGATTCATATTTCATGGCAAGGTGCCCTTGTTGTGTGTGAGTTTCATGCATTAGTGTATGGGTTTTTGTGACCGTGGAGGTCAAGTGTGTGAGATGGAGTTTTTGTGGGAGAACGGTATAACCTTAGGGGGGTTAGTGTTCGTGATTTGGGTCGCGGTTTGGTACGGAGGTTCTTTTCGGACCGGTCGTGATAGGTGTAACAGAGGTTGTTTGAGTCAGGAATGCGGTATATGGGTTGTAAGTGTGTATTGCGGGTGCTCTGGTATGGTCTAAAGAACCGTGTTGGTTAAGGTGGTTGAGGGGACTTGTTGGACTCAGTAGGTTTGGTGCGACGTAAGCATTGACTGGAGTCATGCCAGTATTGGGTGATTGACGGTTTGATGTGATTCAGTTCGTGGGTAGTAAGAGTATGTTTTAGAGACTGGTTTGTTGAGGGGTGATTCCCGTTTTGGAGGGTTACAAGAGTGTGCCAAGAGCAATTGACTCTCGGTGAGTTGATTGCATGGCTCGGTCGATAAGCGAAGTTTTAGGTTGGTATGGCTGTCTAGAGAGTCTTGAGGTGGTGTATAGTGATTAGTCTTAGTTGTGTAGAGTAGGATTGTACTATAAGGCAGGTTATATAAAGCCATTGAAGTGCTCAGTTGTTATGGATGGAATGATTGATGGTAAGTACTGTGTTACTAAATGGACTAGGTATTGAAACTGAAAGCTGTGGACTGGAGTTGGATTTTATGTTATGTCTGAGATATCAGGAGATTGTGTTTAGTGTTTGAGGATCCGAAAAGGTAAACTGATGATAAGAACGATTAGGACGAGGTTGATTTTGTGAGTTTAGTTGTTAGCCCCATTTGACTTTTGTTGGGGCCAAGGGTGTTCTGAGGAACGATGAAGAGAGGAGGTAATGGTGTTGAACCTAGATTATGAAGTTCTCTTGTTTAGGCATGTTAATTGTCTTAGGATGAATTGTTTAAGTAGTCGGTTAAGCGTTTGTAATTGATTGACTCGTTGATGATTTTAAGGAGACAAATGGGTGTGGAGCATTCTAAGATTTGTGCTCATTTTGTTTTGAGGATTTGTTGGCATGGCACTGCCTCATGGATGTTCTTTTCTAGTGATAAATAGTGGTCGTTGTGGGAAGTATTGAGCGTAATGGTCATTTTCTTGTTACAATGGTGTTGTCTTAAGGACGTTTGAGGAAGAATCACTTGGTGGTGACGGTGAGATGAGAGGTCCGAGTTAACTTTTGGTAAGAATGTTAGTAAAGGTGTTATGGAGTGATAATTAGTGCTGATGAGCGGAACAATTTGAGGCATGATCCGAATGTGGTTTAGGATTGTAAGTGTTGTTGTATGTTGTCAGGTAAGTGATGGAATTATGCGCCAATTGAGGCAATTGTGGTCAGCTTAGTCTTTAGAACTAGAGAGGGGTATTGCCATGTAGGCATCTTTTTCTTTTAAAGAATCAGTGGGTTGCTGAGACTAAGGTCATGGGTCTTGTGCGCACGGTGATTGAGGTAGCGTCACCTAGGTAGGTAGAGATGAAGCGGATGGTAAAGTGTCGTTTTATGGCGTAGAGGTTGTCGGTTGGGAGTGAATGATTCTAGGTAGAACGGGACGCGGTGTCCGAAGGGTTATGATTGTTTCTAGTGTTGGTGTGCCGTGCTCCTCCCTGATTAGTTTTGGTTAGCAGGAGTATCGCGGTGTGTTGTATGCGAGGTTTCTATGTTGATAGTGTGTGACGGTCCATTGGTGGCAAGGACACCTGGAATCGGTAGTCCCATATGTGTTTCCAGTTGGTTTTTCTCCTTGAGTGTAGGAAACTCATTCCATCTCAGATGAGATTGGGTGTCCACGGTTGGACAATTGGTGAATAGCATGTGATAGGGTGTCGGGTGCATTCGGGTACGAGTTTTCAGTCTTTTGTGAGAGTGGAGTTTGTTATCCTTTCCGTTGTTCTAGTCCTGGTGAGAACATCGTTTGTCATGAGTCTTGTTCTCCGTTTAGGAGTTATGCACGTCTGTGGGTGGACGAACCTGTGTGAGGTTTGTTAAGTTGTTAGAGTTCACCGGTAAGGTTTGGTTGTATAGGTCGACTCACTTCCACGGGGGGAGGTGGAGTCTTGGGTTTTGTAGTGCTTGTTCTGAGAATGGTTTTGACTGGTGGAATGTGAGGCACGGATTGCCGAATAGGGATTTTGTTTCTGGTGTAAGGTGCTATTGGAGATGGCTAGGGATGTGTCGTGAATCACAAGCTTGAGGATGATTAAGTGATGTGATGCGAGTCATGTACTCGAGTGTCTTTTTTGATGTCTGATTTGAGCAGTGTCTTGTGGACAAGTGTTGGTATTGTGTGAGTGCGAAGCGGCTAGAAAGTAATTGTGTGATTTCATTGAGGAATAATAGGGACGATTGACATTGGTTTTGAGGTTTCAGACATAAGATGGTCGTATTGTGCGTTTTGAAGAAATAAGAATCGAATCAAATGATGTTATGATGTTGACTACTTGTTGTAGGTAATATGAGGTGACTGATAAACTTTTAGGTTGATTGATGATTGTGATATTGGCGCTGTGTTACTTTAGCTTGTTATGATTGAGGCATGATTAGGGTTTTTAGAACTGGTATGTAACTGTATAGTTGTTGAGGTTATGTAAAGCGACGGATTGATTAGAGAGTGGATCTCGCGGTTGCTTTGAGAACTATGTTGGGTTGTGTTTGAGGTTTAGACCTGAGGACAGGAACGACGTCTGTGTTGAGATCGGATCGATGATGAGAATGGCCTGGCCAACCATTTCTCCTAAGTCAGTTTATCTTTAGCACGATGTCGGGTCAAAGGTCCATGATTGTTTTAGTTTGTCAGAAACAGTGAGAGCACGGAATTGCGGATTGTGTCGGTGTGACAGTGTGGATTCAGGTGGTTGTCACGAGTAACGAGGTATGTTACGTAGGATCAAGTATCCGATAAAAGGTTTGTGGTACGATCATTGATTATTGAAGATCTTGTTTTGAGAATTTGTGTCCTGGGTACAGGATAGTGCGCTTTACTGATTTGGTGATAAATGTTTATGCAATTGTTGAGAGAATTGTTGTTTGGTCATCTTGAGGTTGATAAGTATAGTGATCGTCGTATAGCGCAATTGGTAGTCGTTGGTGCGATTATGTGATGGTGTAGTTCTGTGTTGGATAGCGAGTACTTAGTTTGACAGAGATGTATAGAATTGGGATTTAGGGTGTCCTTTGAATGATGAGTTATGGTTGGATGTTGTCTTAATTGGTGGCTTGGTGACCGTTTTTCTTTCGGGCTTTGGAGCCTTTTGTCAGGCGTATGGTTTAGTTGGTCTTGTGTTATGATGAAGTGAGAGATGGGTAACCGCATTGGGTTTCTGTGGCAATGGTGCGTGGTTGCCTGGTGACGTCTGGTGTCAAAGGCAATAATAATGAGTTCATGGTATCGGGGTTTTATGAGGTTTTCTCGGGAAAGTGTGTGGTTGTGGGCCTTCTTCTTAAGGAGGGTAGATTTCGAGGACGAAATCTCTTTAAGGTGGGTAGATTGTAATGTTTCCAAATTTTTCCATTTTCCGATTTCTGGAATTTTCTGTTTTTGCAAGGGCATTTTCTTCTTTTGCCGTTTTTCGTACCGGACACTGTGGAGTGTGCCGGGTGTGTCGATGAGTTGATTAGGACATTTCATTGAGTCCAAAACTCTTTGAAATGCAAAGGTAATCATTTTTGCATTTTTCAGTTTTTCGGGCCGGACGGTCCCGTGTGGGACCTGTTACCGGAATTGTTGCATATGGGGATTTTATTTGGGTCCATTAGCATCACATGCATTTTATTTAATGTATTATATAAGGTTGTGAAATTGTTAAATGTGTGTATATATATATGTGTGGTGTAAAATGAAAACAAAAGAAAAAAGAAAAATAAAAGAAAATTGGTGGGACCCACCGCCCCTTTTTAAGTGGTTATGAGACCACATCTTGGTCTCCATTTTTTTCTTCTTTTCTTCCCCTCCCATTGGTCTCTCTCTGCCCCCTCATTCTAGACTTTTCTTTTCTCTTTTGGCTTCCAATCTTCAATTCTTAATTACTCCTTCAATACTCGATATTTTTTGGTGTCGTTTGCGGCAAAATGGAGAGCGTGGCGAGATCCACAAGCGGGTGTAAGTAATTTCAACATTTGTGCATCCTAGGATTTTGAGTTTTGAGACCCATTTTGAGGGTTTTTCTACAATTTGAGGTAGGGGTGTTCTAATACATAAATTCTTGTGCTTTTGTGAGTTTTCTTGTTTAATTTGATGTTAAGCATGCTCAATTTGTATAATCTCTTGCAAAACTAGTTTAAATGTCAGTTATGGAACACAAGACTACTTGTTACTTGTGTAGTGATTATATATACTTATGTGAAGTTAAATTTGTGTTTTAAATGCTTACCAAGTTAAATTGATGTTGATTGAAAGCATGAGTTATGTGTTTTGAAAAAAAAATAAAATAAAATATATTGGATAGTATGTGCGAAAATTTTATTGTTGAATTGATGATTTGAGACATGGAGCATTCTTGCATTCATTGGGAAGAGAAATGGGAAAAGTGTTTTCAAAATAAAGGAAATTAAATTTTGGGAAAATGTTTTCTAAAGGAGTTTGCGAAAACCCGGACGCCTAGGAGGCCCCTAGTGGTCCGTGGTGTTTGTGTGATCTAGAGGGAGTTAGAGAGAGACTCTAGTGTGGTTGAGCTACCCAAACGACGCCATGGAGGTGCCATGTGGTCAGGGAAAAACTAGTCAACCCCTCCCTTGTCACGTCTTGGAGGTGTCTTGGGTCGGATTACACTAACGGTTTGGATGTTGAAATGGAAATGTTTAGGAAATGGGGAACGACATGAGCATGGCATTGCACTTCATTGGCATACATGGCGTGATTGTGACTTGGACGGTATATGTGTTTATATTGGATGTTGTGGTTATGGTATACATTCTCGATATAGTATGATCCCGTTCTCTTGTTTTCTATTCTATACGTGGATTCACGGGGTCATAAGAAGTGTGTCTTAGACACTTCCTATTGACCTTATGCTCACCCCTTTAGTATTAACATTTTTCAGGACACGGAAGGGAAGTGACGGATGACGATCCACCACAAATTTAGACAAGATTAGAGACCTATTTTATTTTTGCTATATTTTGTAATAGAACTCTAATATTTTGTAAATGTAATCATTTTGGGAATGTGATGTAATAATTGTATTGTGCGTTGGGATAGGATAAGTTAGTTTTAAGGCCTAGTGAGGCCATTGCATTTTTATGTATTTCAACAGGTTGTAGAGGGACTTTTTTTGCGGAGGTCATGCCGAAATTTTATATATTTTATTATTATTATTTTGGTATCTTTTTGGGTCGTTACAATTTTGACTTCTATACAAACTACATACATAGGTCTGCATTGTATATTTTCATACCACCTTAAGTCCCCCTTTCTTTAATTTTATCGGTAACAAGTGTCACTCCTAATTTCTCCCTTGTTAGTAATTTTAATCTTCTGGTCATTCCTACAATTCATCTTAACATTTTCACTTCATTTACATGAATGTGTTCTCGTTTCATTTTTAATGCCGTGCTTTGTATAGTTATATTAGAGGCTGGAAGTTCAAACTTGCTGACACAACTTAAGGTTTACTTCCCATAGAAGTTCTAATTTCTCCAGTTTTTTTGAATCACCAAAAAATATATTAATCATATACACATCACTAATTGTAAAGACATTAATTTGATCTTCTCCCTTGTTCAGCCTATTCTACCTGTCTGTCTGTGGATTATTGGGACCCAAAATATGCAAACTAATAAACTTTTCCTTTTGGTTTAGATCAAACTATCATTCACTGAATCTATCTTCACATCTCAATAGATTATGCTTTCAAGCGGCAATATACATACATACATATATATACACTCATGTGTGCGTGTGTCCTAGATTATTCGATGGAATTGGGATAGTGATACTTTTAGGATTATTTCCAATCTTCTTATTTTTAAGGATTAAATTATATTTAGTAGTAATTATCTTTGGATTTGTGTAAACATAAGGCCTTCGAGTAATGGGTAGATCAGAAGCTTCCTTTGTTCTCTTCTCCTCTACTCCTCTTTTTTCCTTTCTCTTTTCTTTTTCTTTCTTTCCCTCCTGCATCATTTTCAATATGATATACATTGTGTTGCTCAAACCTTTTGCAATAAACATTATATTTAATGTAGTACTTGAGGCAAATCTTGAGCATTTTATTTGCTTAAATTTTAGTTTGTTTTCTTAATTATAGCTACATCACTTTCTCATTCACATTGACTTCATCACTAGCATCACTACTATTGCATCATAAAAATGCATAAATAGAGACAGTATTAATCTAATTTGCTGGAACTATGCCATGCTTTATGTGATGCAAATTGGCTATTGCTATAAGCATAAAGTTGGGACATGGAAGTGGGGTCATACGGTAACCAGAACCCACATGGATAATAGCCACTCATATATCTAATCTGAAAACACCATTCAAAAATGAGATACCTATTGCCATCTGGGTGAAGCTCGCACATTTGGCCATCATCACCAATAGCTAATAAATATCCTGAAGATGTTAAACCCTGCATCAAAAAAATTTAGATATCTCATTGTCCATTTTCTTAGAATCCGTTAAATTCACAAGCAACAATACAAATATTCAGTAAAAATATGCTTTGTCAATATTTTATTTTATTTTTTATAAAGTCCTGGTGCACGGAGAACCTCAAAGTCCCAAATATTTGACAAGAATACCAGCTCAAATCATGCAAACACATAGCTCATTGACTGGCTTTTCAAAATTTTATAATAGTCTGTTATCTCCTCCTTACTCTAGAAAAATATATGATACTCGTCATGCAAGACGAATAGGTCAAACTTTTCTGTCACAATAAATTATAAATCACAAATCAAAATAAGAAAGTGAAGATTTAACTGACCAGAGAACCAAGACATCACAAGTTTTTTATTACTGGGAAAAAAGGCATCACAAGTTTGGATCAGTTCACTAGTCCTTCCAAAATTCCAAAACATACGGTGCAAATACGTGTTTTTATGCCTAATTTATCCATACAGAACCATCACAAGTTTAGGAAATCTGTCTCACCTGAACAGTAACTACATTTTCTACCAATTGATCCTCGATCATTTCCTGTACAATAACTCTCTGCCCACTGCATCCATGAAATGGAACAGAATTGTGAACCTTCAATTTATTCATAAGAGAATATGCTATAATCACGAATCTGATAAATATATGACAATCATGTAGATTACTGGCTACAAATGTTTGAAGATTTGGAACATGACATGAGAATATAAGAAGTTGTTTCTACGTATATGTACAAATATGAGCATATGACATGCCTGTTGTTGACAGTAGAAGCATTTTAACCATTCTTATTGGCAGCACAGTGATGCTATCAATCTATAAATATTTTGAGTAATGCAAAAATACTATATATTATACTTGCAGATTGATATTCTTCCAAGCAGCAAAGTAGATACAATCATGTGGAATCCCCCACCTAAGATCTTTTAACATGAGCAGCAAATGGAATCTCAAGTGAGGTTGGCTTCACCTGCCATGCCTTTCTGCAGCAATTGCTGTTTGCAGTGTCTCCATACCTAAGACTTGCTAATTCTAAGAAGATTTTTCTAAAAAGCTCCTTTTGCATATCTTGTCAAAGGCGATGTAGAAAATGTGCTTAACTGTGAATTTTCTCACCAAAATGAGAACATAATCTTGAAAGAAACATTGTCATTAACATTATCCTCCGAGGGATGGAGGTAAACTGATTAAATTCCAACGTTGCTGGTGACTCCCTCCCTGTAACATCAGAAAGATCTCTTTTGGAAGGAATATATTTCATTTAATTGTAGACAAAAGAAGTTCATAATGAGTGTTTGACAGTGCGCCGTAAATCAATTGTTCTAGTTTTCCACTGTGGGGTGAAAATGGTCCAATTCCATAATGGAAGATCAATATTGTTTAAGTAAACAATAATTCCTAGATAATTTAGCAATACAATGTTCCTTTATTCTCCATCTTACTAACTTCAGGAGAAAGAAAACTGGATACTGGTGGATCTAGTAATATTGAGTTTGGAGTTTTAGGTGGAGAGGAGGCCGAGGAGCAGCCCATTTTAAGACCATTTTAACTTCTAGATGGCTTCTGCTTTTATATCTCTTTTGCCAAAACCTATTCAGTTGGGCCTTAAGCTAGCTGTTGAGAAACAAATTCTATAAAAAATACAGATTAGGAGCAGGCAGTCTAACCTACTTGGGAGATTTTTGGGGATCTTGCCTCATCCTTGGGGATGACAAAGGGCATCTGTTTTTGCTAAATGTAGTTCCTTTTACCTCTTTTTATAATATTTCAAGTCAGATCACCTACCAGAAACAAAAAATATATAAAAAATAAAATAAAAAATCCGGGAATAGCTGATTCACTTAAGAGTGGAATGCAAGTGGTGGTGTGTGTGAATCAATGTGCAACATTAAGGGAAAGAAAATGTACGAATTAAAGTTTCAACAGTTCTAATGAATAAATGCACTTTCCTCTGTCTATCCTATGAATTCACAGTGTTTCTCACACATTTATTAGGTACCCCTAATAAAGCAACAATTAAAGAAATCAGAAAATCAGGTAAGGCTTCTAAAGTTGCTAAAGAGACGAGGACTCTTTGCATTAAGAGAAGATTTATTCATTTTTTTCATTAAGATGTAACATTCTAGTTTTGAAACTCACCACTTCCATTTTTCATGGTTGACTGCAACGTTTGTTTTTGTACTCAACAAATTTCAAAAAATTTACATGGTGGATTAGCAAATATTTGCATTAATTCCTAATTGCAATTATACATCAGGAGATTATTACAATGGAAGAGCCTGGAGAAGACTGAAGAAAGCTTGAATTAATGCATAAATTTTTAATGAATAATATAATGGTATGGAAGGAGCAACATGAAGGGGCAGAAACTTATTTTTTTCTTTTTTAAGGGGAAAATTTTCATGCACTCATAACATGGAATTAAAGCATGCAGACATAAATATTGAGAGAGAATAATTAGGGATTACTTTTTAGCCAAGTCATTACCTATGTAACCATGTCTTGTAGTACAACTCCTCAAGTGGTTGGAACCCTGCGGAAAAAGATTTTTTTATTACATTTATTCAACAAAACTTTTCATCCAAATTGCTAAACTTTTAAATTACTTTTCTGATTGCCCCCTTGTTCCTCTAAATTCTGTTCCCATACTAAAAGAAAAATAATTTCCTAATGCAACAAAATTTTCCTCGAACATAATCTGAAGTCTCCATAGAGTTTAAGTCATATGAGCCAAACACTATGGTTAGAGTAAGAATTAGTTGCATTTCATTTCTGCAATATTATACTACGTTTACAAATAAATGAAAATTACAAATATAACCACTAAAGTATAATATTTAGAGATAATAGCACCCAAGTCATACTGAATCAAAGGTTTATGAAAGTGACTCCAAAGTAGAGAAAAAAGAACGTAGTACAAATATTGCATAGCTTACAGAAGAATAATGATTCACGGGGCTTTTTGCACTATAAGGTAATTATATCACGGTAGATAATTGCACACAATGCCAAGTCAGCCAAGCTGGGCATTGTCCTCTGATGCTAATTGCTATGGCCTATTAACCATTAAAGATACACGTGGCAATCAATAGGATCAGACAGATTGACTCTATCAATCTGTACATTGCTTAATTCTGATTTGTCATCTTAATATACTTAATGCTGCTTGGGTAAAACCATTAAAGTAAATTAAAATCCATAAAAATAAAAAGAATGAATTGCTTGTTTTAAGTGACATTCAAAAGGAAGAAAAAAAACTGGACCACTAATGTAAAAAAGATATTTTATAATTATAAAGACATTAGAATGATTATAGAACAATAGTTCACCTTCATTAAGGAAAAGACCAAAAATATTCTCAAATTTATTAAAGAAAGCTGCAAGAATATCTTCTTTCCGTAGTTGGTAAGCAACAGAAGTCAATTTCTGCAGCTCTGAGTTCAAGCATGAACTAGGTTTCTCATTATCAACATTCAAGCCTATTCCTGCAAAAACATGAAAAGATTAAAAATTCAATATGCGGCCCCCAACATTGATATGAAAATACAAATGACTATACACTAAGCAAGTGACTCTAAAAAATTAAGTAACAGCCAAAATTACCAGGGGAAAAAAAAGAGAAAAAAGACTAAGAATAAAATATTCAGCTCAACTTAAGAATGCGGAAGCATATTTATTTGAGATTTGCATGTGATATCAAAAGGAGGAGACATTTACCAGCACTGACATTAAATTTCTTTGATCTATAGATTGATGTGCACAGTATGCCTCCCACTTTAAGGCCATTTAAGTACAGATCATTTGGCCACTTTATTCTAACATCAAGATGTGGTACGCCCTGAAAAAAATTATATTACACAATAATGAAAATCACCATCTAAACTTCAATAACTATGATTAGTTGTAGAAGTCACAATATGATAATCATATATGCTTTACACAGCTCATATAAAGATTGCAACAAACAAAAAAGGGTAAATCAATTTCTATTCCACAAAAATCTGGTGGTTGATCTTAGTTCTAGCTTAATCCTTTTTTTGGTGTGAATCTATGTTACATAACTTACATGGCCACCTAGTATTGTCTGTATACGACATGAGCATGGGGCATGCACCATAAACATACAGCTTTGGAACACAGCTTCTGAATGCTGCACCGGAAACTGGCCTCTTAGTAATTGGAAAACTTTCCATATCTCAGTAAAAAATGTATTAAAGATCTTATTTTTGAAGTGCCCTTATCTGGTACAACAAGAAGAATCTCAATTCATGCCTGGCAAATAGCTTACATAAGCAGTACCTATAGATAGCTCTTGAGATATATAATGAGGGGCAATATTGTACCTTATTTTACTTCTTCAAGTAAAAATACAAATAGACACAAACAATCCTAGTCTGATCTTTTTGCTCTCACAATGCGTTTTCTTCCTCTCTCTACACACCATATCAGGTTCTTAAACATTGTACTAGAGCATTGATTTTTGGAGGTTTTGGATTCAAGTCTTACGGATATTCTTTTCCTATTTCATTTCTTTCACCCTGTTCAGTCTAATTTTTTCTGTCTATGTGCAAGATAGGATCATACATGAGGGAGGATCAACTTTATCATCCATTTTCTTTCTCCTGTATTTTTCTTCTTTCCTATTCCCTTCTTGCTCTTTTATTTCTTCTCTTTCCCAAACAACTTACAAACTCCAAGAGGAGGCTCCAAAGCCCTATAGTTGTACAGACAGTCGTACTGTATTATAAGACACCCAGTCACCAGCCATATGTGTTGATCTTTGCTGCTGTCACATGCTTACCTTCTGGGGTGCTAGTTCAGGATTTTGAAGCAACTTAAACACCAAAATTCTAACTCTCGTGCATACGAGATCAAAAAATTTCGGAAGAAGTTGATTGTTTTCTCAGAATTTGGATTGTCATTAGCTACAAAAGTTGATGTATTTGTTACTCCGGTTGACTGCTTTATACTTTGGAAGTTTCTGAACTTGGTTCCTAAGTTTTTTACTAGTATTATTTCATTTTCCTACTGACATTTATTTCCGTGTATGCTTTCCAAATCACGATGTTCTGTTTATGTGGTTGCTGGATAGTCATACATCTGTGCTGGTTTTTGGAGTATTTGAGAGAGAAAAAAAAAATAGTTTTTTCCTTTTTTATTTATCTATTTGTTTATTTATTTACTTTTGTTGTACTTAACGTTGCTTTTGGGGGACTTAATAGGCAGTTGTACACTTGGTTTCTAACAATGCCTAAGGCTACTAAAATCAAAGTTAGACCACGTTCTTCTAAGGACAGCTTGAATATACAGATTACAAGAGCAAAACTGAATTGAAACAGTTACTTGTTAAGCGCACGTTCTATGAAGGTACCCTTGGTTTCTCGAAAGAAGTTCGAGTACATTTTATCTGCATCCCCATCTATTAAAAGTGCAAGGTCCGATGAGGGGGATGAGAATTTTCTTACAATGACACGGCTGTGGAATAGTTGGAGTCATCTATTAGCTTGAATGTAATGTAATGCAATACTGTAGAAGAGATTTAGAATGCACTTTGTGATCTGCTACAAGAAGATAGTTATTATAACTATAAGCTCACTTATTTCTTATTTAGTTGCATGGCTTCTCCTACATTATAGTAATATTTCACATACAACTATAAAATTCAAATTTTCGTTTACTGTTTCATCAAGGTAGCTAATGTATCTATAAATTTTCAATCCATCATATATTGCTCAATGAAGCCTCAATGATGAAGCCGTTGTTTCAGCTTAAATAACAAGATTAATACATCATATATATGATTGTAACCACTTACGTTTTTGTCACAAACATCCTTTATAGCTTCTGTCATAGCAAGAGACACTACATACTGCACCAGAGGCACTACTCGGCCATCCTCCATTTGTATTGTAAACGAAAACAGAAGGCACCCTATCGGAGATTCCCACACATTCTTCGACCGGCCTGCAAAATCACACCTTACAAATAACTACAAAAAATTCAAATAATCCCATATTCAACTACAAAACACACTGTATTAGATCGCATATCATTTCGAACCTCGCCCTTTATATTGAACATCTGCAACACACACTGCACCAATTGGAAGCTCTGAAAAGTTGCTGCCCAACACTAAAAAAATCAATTCCTGAATTTAATTTTCATGCAAGAAAGTTCAAAACTTGTGATCACTTACTGAGAAACGATGTCATGGGTTGAAGGCAATCGCGACGACCAAATAAGGAATCGACCAAAGCGACTAGTTGAAAGAGCATTCATAAATGAATCAATCCGAAAACATTCTTTTTCAAAGGGTTTTTCAGTCTCCGAATGCAAAATAATCGAAATTTCGGCAGAGTCAGGGAGTTTCAGAGTAGCGTTGTTCTTCAAAGATTTAGCTAATTCATTCTCAGTAGATGATTTTCCACATAATACCAGACGACAAGGTGATTGACAATCCATTGCTGAACATAACAAAAGAAATCAATTTCTGTATATACATATATATACACACACACACATGTATATATATATATATAAATGAAATAAAGAAGTGAAAATGATGATACCTGATGAAGCTATTGATAGTGAGAGACTGAGAAGCCTCTTATCAGCAGACACAAGTTTTGGCAGAACGAGTAAAGGGAGAGAATTTTTTAGAGAGAGAAAGTGCAAGGAAGTTTGTAGAGAGAGAAAACGGAGGAAGCTCGCAAAGGGCATGGGCTCTGAGAAGACGACATTCATTGGACGATGAAAACTATGTGAATGATTCATCATCACAGGTGCGTTCGATTTTTCTCGTCACAGATGCAATCATCACCGTAGATTTTTAAAAAAGCCATCATCTTTGGTGGGACCGTTTGCTTTACACTGAAATCACTGCTGCTAGACAGGTATGTGATAATATTTATCACATAGTGCTGTTACTTTTAGCATTGCTTAAATTTGGGGGTTTTTACGTCTCGTCAGGGTTCTAGAGGTTGGTAGCTACTGTGAGTGTTGATGGAGGATTTGCAGAGAGGAATATCCGATCGAGGTTTAAGGGTCTCAAATCTGCCAGAGAAAGGCCGTTGTTTCTTTACCACAAGGGACTTCTCTCCAGGTTTCTCTCTCTACTCTCTCTCCATGTATACATACATATGTATATATAAATATTCAACCAGAACTTCTTTAATAGACAATGCTTCTAAGGGCTGATAGAGATTTTCACTTTGTTAAGTTAATGAATTAATAAAATAGAATCAAACTGGTTTTATTTTTAATTGAAAGAAGCTTAGCAATGGTAGATGAATGTTTGAGCTTCTACTGTTACTAGTGAGCTTTTCATTTAGAAAAAAAGCAGGTTTTTTTGGGAGGAATGAGGAGTGGAGAGAGGGAGAACTATATATATATATTTTGGTTCCACATTTAATTTGGAAGGACCTTGGCCCAACTAGAAGGTTGCTCCATTTTGACCTGGAGGTCACGAGTTCAAAATAAGAAATAGCTCTCCATGCGGAGATAGACTGGAGACCTTGCAATGGCAGAAGTCTAGTGCACTAGGTTTGCCCTTGTTATTCGTTTGGGCTTGTTCTTTTTATGGTAATGGTTTATTTTATATTACAATATTGATCATATTTATGAATATATTGTGCTAAATTATGTAAATAAGACATGGGCTGCATTTACTTCATGAAAAGCCGAGTGGAAACCAAAAACTTTGTATACACACTTTTTTTAATTTTGAAAAGTTAATTGTGGCTGAAAATTTGCCATATCATCTTCTACCTGAAATTCAGCAGATAGGTAACTCCTCAAAGATTGTAATGTTATTTCTACCATAGATCAGCTTGACCTAGAAAGAGAAAGTAGATAAAAAGCTCTTGGTGGCTTTGAGTTTAAACTCTCATGCCACAGGTCAAGGTTTCAATACTGGTAAAGAGAAGATGTAAGAAAAGAAAACAACAAAAAGTAGATAAAAAGCCTGCCCGAACACAAAAGAGAAAGAGGGGGGGGAAAGAAAATCTCAAATTAGGCAATAAAATAATATCCGCACTAGAATTCTGCAATTTAGCGGTGCATCACAACCACAGACCTTACAACATCGCATTGTGGCTATCAAGCCTGTCATTGATATATACTGAACAAAAATCTACTTTTCTTTCCCCACCATCCTCCCACTAAAGAAGTTCCTCTTTTGCAGGAGAAGTGATTGTAAGTGAAGAACCTTATGTCTCTGTACCAAACAGAACTTCTGTTGACTTGAGATGTGATGGGTGTTTCATGTCAAGTAACCTTAAAAAGTGCTCAGCTTGTCAGGCTGTTTGGTACTGTGGGAGCACATGCCAGGTATAAAATTTAGATGCAAGATGTATCATCATTTTCAGACTCGTCATCATTGTTGTTCACGTCTTTTTCAGCTCAGATAGATTGGCTGTAGAACAGAATTCCAACTAAAGATTATAGTTTCAGCTTTTTGGCTGTTTCTAGTTTGCATTTATCATCATAATTTTCTTTATTGAAATATGTCATGCAAAGAAAAAATTTCAATAAAGTTGTATTTTTCACTATTTTCATCAATATTTCTTTTGTGACGAGGTTCATAAATTGATTGGAATGCGTAAGGTTCATAAATTGATTGGATATCATACATGCGAATACTCACAACATGGAAGACTGGTGTACTTTTATCATTGTATTTTTTTATTTTTTTCTGTTTAAAATATATTCTGCAAAGAAAATTTTCCAGTAATGTGGTGGCACCTTTTTCACTATGTTCCATATGATATAAACAACATTTATTTTTTCTTTCTTCTCTCCACCAGTCTCGAAACCTTGACCCCTGGCTTGGGTGTTAAGACCCAAAGCCACCAAGACAGAGGTAGACTGATATATAAACAACATTTCTTTCGCACATGGGGTTCATAAAGTGATTGGATATCCTGTAGTGATAATACTCACGAAGGGGAAGACTGATTTACATTTATCACTAATTGTTTTTTGTTTAAAATAAATTAGGTGTTTAAAATATATTATGAATATTAAAAGTTCCAGTAGTATGGTGGTATCTTTTTCACCATGTTCCATCTGATTCAAACAACATTTCATTCGTGCATGAGGTTCATAAATTGACTGAATATCCTGTATGATACTCCTCATATCGGGATCTTCTATGTCAGATCACACTGCTTACTCCATTCTTCTTTAATGAGAGCAACAATTTAATTTTTAATTGACAAGAAAAAGAATTTGATAAGTTTTACCATCAAAGGGTGATAATATTTTCTACGTGACAATAATTTGGAATTATTATCTTCAAAAATATCCATTGATCTGCATTCTTATTGTATTGATGCACGCTCTAATCTCTTCAGAGGTCAGATTGGAAGTTGCATCGTCTGGAGTGTCAAGCTCTCTCAAAACTTGACAAGAATAGGCTAAAATCTCTTACACCTTCTATACGATTGATGGTGAAACTTTACTTAAGAAGGAAACTGCAAAGTGAGAAGGTGAATTTTTATTTTCATCTTGGTTTTCAATTTACTCTTGTTTTATTTTATTTATATGTTTGTTATTTTTTGCTTCTATTTCTTATTATTGGAATTTATAGTTGTGATTATTATTATTATTATTATATACCTTGGCAAGAAATACACTCACACACCCACTTTCCCCCTATGGTGACTTGAACCCTCGACCTTCTACTTTGGAAGGCGAGGAAGTACCGCTAAGCTACCGCCCTTGGTGGTAATTGTGATATTTTGCTTGCTTGTGAAATTTTATTTTCACCTTGGTTTCCATTTATTCCTGTTTTATATTTTTGTTATTTTTCACTTTTATTTTCATTATTGTAATTGGGATGTTTTGTTTTCTTGTGTAGCTTACTTAGTTTGGATGACAAACTTCATGATCCTGGAATTAAGTATTGCTATATATACATTATCTTGGAATGAGTTTGAGACAAATTTATGAATCGTTTATAGTGGTACCATTTTTTTGCCTTTCAAAAAAGATAGGCATATAATTCACTAATTGACAGGATGGGACTCACTGAACCTCGCTCAAAGCCATTTAATTCCAGACAGCTTAAAACTCATTGATTTCTGCCTTCCCCCGATACTTGAAGCATTAATGCTATTGGATTTTCCTGGTGGTGTTGCATTTTTCTATTCAACCAGTAAATTAGTTAAAAAACAAAATGAAAAGAATTATTCCAAAATACTGATTATATTCTTCCACACAGAATTTTATTGATTTCATCAATTAATGGTAGGAAGTTTAAAGTTGCTATATTAATGTAGAATTTTGCTGCTTATTATTCTTCAGTATTCCTAGTATGAGCCATAAGTATCACCAGCTATATATGAAAATTTCTTTCAATAATTGAGAGAACTCATCAAAGACGGTACTTAATTCATCTGCCTGCAGACCCTACTGATTTCAGTATTCTTACTAATAGTTCTTTCTATCTGCCAGTGACTTATAATCGTATGTAAAGATGAAACTTGCATTTTTTGTAAAGTGTAAATTCATCAGCCTCTGATCCAATTGAATTCAGTAATCAGTTGTGCAAATACCTAGGAATGTTAAATATTTAACTAGGGATTAGTTGATTGAGATAGTTTGTATATGACTACCTTCTCCTCCAACCTTCTTTCTCCAAGATCTTTGCTTCACTGATCTGGCTCTTTCCTGATTAAACACAGGTTACATAAATTACATGATTCTAGACTAGTGTTGGCAGCTTGTTTTGTGGTTGATAATAGACACGATGTAATTATTCTCCTCCACAATAAAGGTTAAAGGCAAACCCATTGAAGTTAAGCTTCTGCAACCTTCACTTCCCTCTGCTTAAATTCATTGATGTACTTGTGTATGATGCTATTGATTTACATGAAACATAGGTAGAAGCAAAGTCTCAGCATCCAAACCTTATCTGCTTGGATGATTTCACATCGTAATTAGCAAAAAAGGAACTTACTTGTTTGTAGTAATGGCAGAATAGGTTGTCGGGTGCTACTTCAGGACCATCTCAAAGGAAGGGCAAGTTCATGACCCTCTATGGAATCCAAGATATTGGATGTTCTTGTAGAATGTGAATTGCATCATGTTTTCATTTTTTCTGGTGTTGCTTTTCTTTTTCTTCTTCCACTTCTGTGATATGCTTTTCGTGTTCTAGGTATTTTAAAATTTTAAGTTGTTCTTTTTCCTGTGAAAAACTAGATGCATACTGATGTCAAATTGCCTATATAGCATTGCTTTGATTTGTGTGACAATACATTTATTCTAAATAAAGCCTTTGACTATTAGTTTTTCTCCTGCCAGATTATACCAGCTACTGCCACAGACAACTACAATCTGGTGGAGGCTTTGGTGTCTCGTATCCTTGTCAATTTTAGTATTTGACTTTCAATGTGTTCACTTTGTCCTTTCTTCAAATATTTTCTTCAGTTGTTGACTGTAACAGTTTTTCTCATTAAGATATGTCTGATGTTGATGAGAAGCAATTAGTATTGTATGCACAGATGGCTAACCTTGTCAGCTTGATACTTCAATGGCCTGAGATCAATATAAAAGAGATTGCAGAAAATTTTTCAAAGGTATTCTTTAAAAAGGTCAAATTACTTAGTTACCCTAATGTTTGTAAAAATTGGAATACCTCGAACTCAGACAAGTGCAGTAATTTGCATAATAACTAAGAATCTGAATCCTTTAGTTTCCTGTTACATCTTAAAAGACGCATTACGCTAGCATTCGCAATTATGCTGGAAACCTGAGGGCTGCTAAAGAGTAGTTATGCAAATAACAGTGGATATATATTTTATTTTTTTGATAAGTAAATAACAGTGCAAATGACAGTGGATATTAATTGTTCCAGTTATGTTAGAAATAAGAGTGGTTCCATCAATTTTTCAAAAATTTACAGGGGTGTCTAAATGCTAAACAGAAAAGGTTGTGCAAGTTAACTATATTGAGATTATAGGTAGATTTTATTCCCTTGGAAACATGTTCTGCAAGTATTATGCATGGAGCATGTCTCACTTGGGTGGATAATGGATTTCTTCCTGGAATCTGATATATTCTACTGCACTTTGATTCTTCTCAACGACATGCAGCTTGCATGCAATGCGCATACCATTTGTGACAGTGAACTGAGACCTCTGGGGACAGGACTGTATCCTATTGTTTCCATTATCAACCACAGGTAATTTCAATCATAAATTAATGCGTTTTGATTTTCCATCCTCTTTGCATTGGCCGTTCTAAATGAATCCGGTGATGTAGCTGCTTGCCCAATTCCGTTCTAGTATTTGAGGGAAAGTTGGCAGTGGTTCGTGCTGTGCAACACATACCTAAAGGTACTGAGGTAATGTGTCCTCCTTAAGTTGTTTTTCAGCGAGTAAGAACAATAAAGGAACTACATACCCAACCACATGGGTAAACATTAATGCTCTTAAGCACATTCTGATGAACTAATATCCAGAAATTGATTCTTCTGTGGAAAGTTCATTTCAGGTAGGGATTGCAGATATGTCCAATTATTATCTTGAGAATTCATTACAAAATCTATTTTTAATGGTTGTCGTATTGAGTCTCCAAATATTCTTCCCACGTGGTTCTATTTTCAGTCCTCGAGTAACTATTTGAGTGTTGAAAAACTTCCCCTTGGTTTGCACCATTTATGCTCTCTTCCTGGCAGATTTTTTAATTTATAGAAATGCATCCTTTTCCAATCTCCCCCCATCCTTCTTTTTCTTTCTGAAAAATAATTCAATACTTTATATAAATTGTTTGGAGGTCATATTCGATGTTGTTTCATATTCTTCAATTTTCATGTAAAGTTTAAAAATTATTTATCTGGTTATGTTTTCAAAGGTAATGATAAGTTACATAGAAACAGCTGGAAGCACCATGACTCGGCAAAAGGCTCTCAAAGAACAATACTTTTTCACTTGCAAATGTTCCCGCTGCATAAAAGTGGTACTTTTTGCATTGATCTTCTAAAGAACATATTGATTTCATAGCATGGTAGCTTTTAATATTGAAACTTCTCCTAGAACTGTTTCCCGCATTAAACAGAGTTGATATTATATTAAAGGGGCAGCATGAAGATATTCAAGAAAGTGCAATTTTGGAAGGTTACGGATGCAAAAGTAATGGATGCTATGGTTTCTTGCTTCGTGATTTGGGTATGTATTTTCCTGTGGTTGACCTAGTGAAGTGGCTTTAATGTCTATTTGAATCCTTATACGGTTTGGATATGCAGATGGCAGAGGATTCATATGTCAACAATGTGGACTTGTTAGGGACAAGGAAGAGATAAAGAAAATTGCAAGCGAAGTGATATCAATGTCGGATCAAGCTTCCATGTCGCTCTCTTCTGGGTGTATCCTCAAATTTATTTATTTTGTGCTTTGCTTTTCTTGCTGATAGTAGTCATCAATATTAGTGACATGTTGATAAAGTGGTATGGGGTTGGCTGACTCTTCAATTTATATAGATTAGAGTTTAAGGGTTTGAAGCATGGGGAACAGAATCAAGGGGTTTAGGAACCTTCTAGCAAAGAAAATAACTAGTAACTGTTGACTATAAAGTTACTGATCTTTGACATAGTTCAGATAATATGGAAGCCATTAGGATGTACAAGATGATTGAGAAACTTCAACAGAAGTTATACCATCCATTTTCAATCAATCTGATGCGGACCCAGGAAACTCTTGTAAGGGTATGTCATAAGTTTTCTCCTTTTCTTTTTTACAATTTATGTCTGCCCGTGTCTTCAGGCTCAGAGCAAATTTCTATGCATGCTTTTGCTGATATTTCAGTAATTCAGTTTTATGTTTAAAAGAATATAAAATTGTCATTTTGACATATTCCCTTTATCAAACAATGCCATGGACATTATTTTTATTCAATTTTTTGAGTGCAAGAACCACATCTAGGTCAAATCCTGCCGTGCATAAAAAAGGAATGCTTTACTTGCCAAACTGGTTTTCTCTAGGCTTCCAGAAAGTATCATTGGGAATTTGGATTTTTGGATGTCTTGTTTAACCAAATCATTAATTTGTACAGGAAACAAGTCGACCATGTACTTGGCAGCCCGTTACATATCCTGTATAACTTTTTACAAGCCCTTTTTTTCTGTGTGTGTGTGTGTGTGTTGGGGGGGAGGTTGGTAGGAGGGAAGTTATCCTTCTTGGTGATGGGTGTTTACTGTTTGTTATGGCTCTATTTATGAAGATGGGATATGGCAGTAAATGCTGTAGGAATCAATTTGGGGCAATCCACATTTCTTATTACATCTAGATTGCTCCTGATATATTTGCACTGATTTTCTGGATTTTTTTATACATTGAGGTTTTTTTATGAGCTCAATAATTCAACTTATGTCTCTTCAGATATTAATGGAGGTGCAAGATTGGAAAGAAGCCCTGGCGTATTGCAGATTGACCATTCCAGTTTATCAGAGTATGTTATCTTTCAGCTTTATTCCTGTAGAACATATCATCATCATCATCATCCTTGCCTTGGTCCCATATGTATGGGGTCGGCCACTCTAGAATATATATCAATTTTAATTTACTATTGTGAATGTTGGTAATTTGGTCTGGTGCATGAAGAGTTGAAACATTATGCCAGAGAACAAATACTTTATTCTACTGATTATCAATATATTATATTACATCACTTGTTATCATTGTTTGGAATCACCAACTCACATGGTTAGACTGCCAATTTGTAATCAATTATAATAGGAAACAGTGAAACATCTATTAGGACTTCTTCATATCTCGATGAAGATAAATAGAAGAATAAATGCCAATATATGAACTCATTTTGTGAAATAAAAATACAAAGCTGATATTTGTCACATGATATTTCCTGTTTTTACTTATTATTTCTATTCTAGTTATTTCTTTTAATAAATTTGATTGAAATCTAACACAAATTATAAAAATATAGAATCAGAAAATGACACTAAGAATTTGGAATTACTATTTTTGGCAAAAACTGAATGTAATAACAGAATTATATGTAATTTACATTTACATAAAAGAATCACCTATGATTTTTTAAAGTTTTTTGGACTATCATTTAATTAGTAGGAATTGATTATCTTTCAAATAGACTAGCGTGTTTGTTAGTGCCAGAGATGGGGGGATCATTTGTTTTTACCCAAGTCAGCTTCCTTTTTGCTTTGCAATGCGGACTAAGTGCTGCAGACAGGAATAAATAGGACATATGCTCACACTAATTTTTAGGGCATTTTCTGGGAGAGCAATATCATAATTATTGAAGATGTGGAGCACTGAATTTGAAAATTATCTATGTAGACAGCATGAGCTGGTTATTAAATGGCAGGAGAAAGGTTGCTCTTTTGTTTATCATTTTAGATTTTCTTAGTTTGTAACTTTTCTTCTATAGACTTTGTGGCCTGTACGGTCCTTTTGTTCATAACCATCCCCAAAACACATTTTCTTTACACATCAAACAGAACTACAGAATATATTTTCAAAATTCTCTATTAATAACTGTGTATGATTATTGCTTATCACATTGCAATGTTTCTGCTTACCCTTGGACTATATATGTTGGTTTCCTTTTCTAGGTTGCTAAGTCCATGATGTTGCTGCTCTCATTCTGAACATGACCTTTCTGCTTCACTGCAGGAGTGTATCCAGGGTTCCATCCTTTGCTTGGATTGCAATATTATACCTCTGGGAAACTCGAATGGTTAGAATTTACTCTTCTTTCGCTTCTTGCATCTTCTAAGCCTGCAGGTTTTCTTATCTTCATGTGTTAGGTATTTAAAATGTTCTAGCTTATTCGTCACCCGTCTACCATTTCATTTGGACGACCAGGATATAGGTCGTATTCAAGTTTTAGCTATGCCTTCAAAATTGCCCACTGCCTGTCTGTAACAAATTACTCATTGCATTACCAAGCAAAAGGTGCCGTGGGGAAGTATTAATAGGGGAATTGAAGGTCGACCCAAACACGACTAGTTCAAATCCACTGTCGTTCATTAATTCAAATCAATTGTTGCCCCTGGAAAGAATACAATCCGTACTATTCCCTTTATGCATTGGATGCGTCATTTCTTGGGTTTCTTTATATCTGAGTCATCAACTCTCATCAACTCTCTGCCTTGGATTTAGGTCCGGATTGCCTGCTTCATGCAAAAGAAGCACTCGAGACTGTTAGTCGCACGTGTGAGGAAAAGACTCCTAGTGTAGTTTCTGTTTGAAACAATTTACAGCCTTTTAAATGTGAGTGAAAGCAAAGTCTATGTAGCTGAAAAATATGTCTAATATTTATACTGGCAGGCAATCAGAGTTGTGGTTATGGACCCGGATTATAACCTACTCTTTATATAGGTCTCAGTGAGTAAAGACAGAGAGGTAGAGAGAGTGTGGTATAGTCATAATCTACAGCACAACAATAGAGCTAAGAGCTATTGATCACATAAGGGTGAGTGGAGTCTGATTGTGGTTTTAGAGCAAGGCTGCCTTCTAACCTGTAAGTGTGTGCGCGCCGAGAGTGAGAAAGGGAGAATTGATGTTTTCACAAACTGGTGTACATCAAAAGGATTGTTCGAGTCTCATCTTAGTCAAGTCATATTTAGTTTTATTAGCCGATTTTGTTGATCATACCTGTTGGTGACACATTGTTCTTAGGTAAATTGCACTATACCTTACTTCCAAACCTCTTTTTTTAGTTAGTTTCTGAATAACTACTTTTTCTTTTCTTTTACTCAATCTAGATATGAGGCAGATTTTTCTTCATTGCATGGAGGAGTGCAGGGGCACCTGCCCCCCTGAAATTACGAAACATTTTTAATGTAGGTTCATGGCTCTCCTTTCAGCTGAACTACATTCAATAATATCTGATCGTTTTTCTTCTTGAAACATCATTTGCATAGGAGATCAGTTTGATTGGACGAGTCTGATAATAGTACCTTGTTTTTTCTTTTAAAAAGCAATTATATTTTACACTGTTTAATGGACTTAATAGAAACTCAATGGTTAGATGCCATAATGAAGCTGACTTTTAATAAAATTGATCAACTCAAGTAAATTACTTATGATTGTCCATGAGTGGTCTTTTATTTTTTAACCTAGGTAAGCTTGGAGTGAGCATTCTCAACCCCCTACCATCATAGTTGTAGCTTTACCAACGGCTTTGTGGCCTAGTGGTACTTCCTTGCCTTGCAAATTAGAAGGTCGAGGGTTCAAATCCCTATAGGGGCAAAAGTGTGTGCGCGTGTGTTAAGAAGTTGTAGCTTTGATCTTGAATCATGAGAAAGTCACCCATAGAATTTCCTGATGGAAAAACATGAAATGTCATGCGAAGACCAATTGAGGTACTCTTAACTTCCTGCACCTTATATTCCCCTTTGTCTGCCTTGGGGGTGTGATTTATTCCTTTACCTCCATAGCTTTGATTTTGCATACTCAAGCCAAATTTTCCTTCTAATAAAAAAATTGAACATTTTAGACATCAAAATTTATGGATGACTTAGGGCAACTCGGATTTAGACAATCGACCCAATCAGGGAATGAGAACTTTTAAAAAACTGGAAACAATGGAGAGAAAGACTAACCAGGAGGAGAAGGGGTTACAGGGTACCTATCTGAAAATGGCTAATTTGACGTGCCATTTAGAGGTTAGCTCACCGACTATGATAGTATTTGCATTGGTGATAACTTTTGGCAAGGTTTATGTGGATGGTGAGAAAAGAAGGGACAAGTGACCCATGGTAAAAGGTATGGGGTGTTGATGGATGCTGTTACATGATTGTTAGGGATGAAAAATGTGGTTTTAGGTTGTGGGCAGAGACAAAGGAGCGTGATGTTGGAGGACTTGGAGAAAGCTGGTGGAGATCTTGCAGAGTTCGGTTAACTGGGAAGCGGATTTGGACCACTGGATATAAACTTTCTTACCGTTTCTGAAATAACTGAATACAGACTAAAATTCCAATTCACCAACGTTGAATACCAGTGTATATCCTTTGCATATGTCAAAATGAGTCAAATAACAATTAAATATGACCTATCTAGGTAGTGGAGGCATTACATCAAGGGAAGAACGTTACCTGTCCCGCTACAGCAGGGTCTTGGGATGAGTGGACTCCAGACAAACCTAGCCTTTAGTATTTTGCAAAGTGGCTGCTCTGAGACTCGATCTTGCGCCAATGGCACTGATGCTCAAGAGTTTTACCGCTTAACCAAGCAAGACTTCTTTCTGCTGAACAACCGCTTGCTCAATCTGGAGGGTTTTTAATTGCCCTAGTTAATACATGAGTATAGATGTATTTTTTTGTCATAATACTAGTAGAGTAATTAATGATGATGGTAGGTAATATATTGAAACTAAAAAGTTTTTAAACCGATATATGGACTTTTAATGAGATATCGTTGGTAATTTGTACAGGTTTCTTGGGGACACAGAGGATGCCATCAAGTCACTGGGCAAGGCAGTGGATATATTGCGAATTACTCATGGAACAAATGCACCATTCATGAAGGACCTCCTCGTCAAGTTGGACGAAGCACGTGCTGAAGCTTCTTATAAACTTTCATCCAAGGATTAGTTGCAAAATTCACCATTCAAAATTATTTTTGTAAGATGAATATCTGTCGTGAATACGTATAATATCTGTCATGTATACGTATAATGCTGCTGCAGTAAGCTATGTTGAGGATGTAAAAAACTAGTTGGCTGGGCAGTGTAGTTAAGATTTGGTCATCACAGTCATGTTCAGAGTCATGTGCAGTCTCCTTCAGTTTACGGTACAGCTTATCTCACAAATCGTCGCACCTGATACATTTTTCAATCAATTACTCCACATTCAAGAAACCCATTTTTTTTTCCTGGATACCTTCCAATCTCGGAACCTTTCGCAAGGTACATTTGTTAGGCTGCAAATTGAATACCTTGTGTCTCTGGATGTTTGTTTTAGGATTACATTTAGCTACCCTAGTGTGCTGTGAAATTATTGTAGACAATGGAAGCAGAGAGCTCCCAGACTTCAACAATTACCATAGTTCTCGCTTCCTAAAACCAACTATCGTAGTATCCAACTGTTCAAGTTTTAATTGAAATTGTATTACTGAAACCATCATTAGCCTGCTTAGTGACCATTTCTTTTGCCAATTTAATTGTTTATTCAAGTTTTAATTGAAAATATATGGGGTAGTATGGCAAGAAAATTTTGGTAACTACATAAAAAGTAATCATAATAATAATAAATTAAAATTAAAACAAAAAACTTGGATTGAAGAACCATTGTTGTCTTGAACAGAGTTTCCATGAAAATTATTGTAATACATATATATATGTATATATATATATATCCAAGTTAATAGTATAAATCAATAGCTTCAATTTGAACACAAGGACAAACCAATTACCCCAAACATATAAGAAACTGAGGCCATCAGCACCGGAAAAAAACCAAACAATCGGAAACTCAAGCTATTCCTACACCATGAAAAAGGAAATTTAAGATTCTATTTGAAATTTTTTTTTTGAAAAAAGAGCTCACGTGAATGTGAAAATTGCTTATAGCATGATTAGAGGGAATAGCGACATGAGGTCTGAATTTCTTGCAGCCTAACACCAGGTAGGTCTGTCGCTTTTCCGGAGCGCGCTAGCTGAAAAATTAATTATTTTGAAACCATTAAAAAGGGCATTATAATCAATAATGCACATAAGACCCCAAATTGAGCAAAATATCAAACTTTGCTGCACTTTTAAGACAAAACACGCCACTGGAGTCTACCTAATCCACAACCAAGGAAGAAGATCAACAACAATTTCTTAACAAGGAATAGAGGAACATGCGAGTGAAGAATCCTACATTACAACACCATAGTAATTGATGGATTTTATGAATCACCCCTTCGAACAACTCCAAGCAAACATGGAATTCAAAATTACAATGCTTCTGGGGCGGCAAAGAGCAACCATATAATCAGAAACCCTGGGAGTTACGAATTCCCCTACCTTGATTGGTGCTAAAAATAAAAATGACTCATATGATATAATCACCTTTGGTTGAGAGTTGCACAGCAAAAAGGAATTCGATCCCCACATATCAAGGACTACACTGTGTAGTAACAAAGTCTGGATCTCATCTTAATTTCGAAAAAGTTTAATTTACTCCAGGTTAGATGCTTAAGATTGTTAGCATAACACAAAAATTTACACAAGGTGACACCTGAATAGTCCCACCAATAAAAATTGAAAAAGAAAAAGAAAAAGAAAAAAGAAAGACAAGCAATACATGCTGCATATGTAGTATTTCCCAAAGTAAATGATTCAGCTTCAGACGCTGCAAGTTTTTGACGTGCGGCAACTTATTCTGAATGAGATGTCCAATAAATCAGCCCACTGCAGAGAATTTTATTTGTGTTATTGGAGAAAATTGCACAATAATATCATTATTCTTCTCAAATTTTTAGTAGGACTAAAGAATGCTAAACAGTTACAAATGATACTAGTATAATTGAAGTTAGAATGACAAGCCCTGGCCCATGTTATAAGTGCATGCTGCTTGTGCAAAAATGTCATTATATCTATATGATCTAACTCGGTATAAATGTTTACCTACCAATGACCAAGAAAGGGGACAGATTTTGTCACAATCAATATGATCTAGCTCAGTTAGTATGAAGGTTTGTCGACCAATTACCAAAGGCCAGGTACTCAACTCCTTATTTTTATTTCCTTTCAGTTTTTCGCAGAATGGAGGGGGTAGTGATAGGGAAAGGTTCATATCTGGTGCCTAATAGAATACTGACTAGGACAGTATTTACTGTACACATTGCATCAGTTTAAACTTTAAACGAGTGCGCAAACATTCAGAAACGTGAGATTGACAAGGGATCAAATGGACAAAGCAATCCTAAAACTTAAAAGAATAGTTTACCTGATCAACACAAACACACACTGCAAAACACCTGCAGTTCCTGTCCACACTGAGGGCCCAGTTGTCACAATGGAGTCTTGTATCAATAGACCGACAGAAGCCGCTAGAGAGACAAAGGATACAACATAAGCAAGGAAAAGCCAAAGCTTCAACCTGCAAATTTGAAGTCACGACAGTAAGAAGGATCAATATTGTTGCTTCAAACAAGCATTTAGATAATGCAAAGCTTTTATAATCATCATAATTCAACTTAAGCAAGAAGACATGTAATGAGACACTTTAGTATATATATTCTGGTTGACCTCAAATTTACTCGATACAACTAATATTGAAGCACTTGGAGAATAGCCTGAGAAGCCACAACATTCACAAAGAGCCTCCTAACAGGTCACAAAGTGCTCATGCATACACACATTTCTTCTTAAATTTAGCCAATTCAGTCCATTTTCCAAATTGGAGTTTTAAAAACTATGAAATGATTAAGAAAAATTTAAGGCAGGTCCCTCCTCTGGACTTGCAGCAGAACGGCACATACAGAAAGCTGGGAATAGATTCCTTGGATACCAATTCATCAGTAACACAGTTTCATGCATATGAATTGACATGGAAATTGTAGCCAAAATGGACCTTGGGTTTGTTCCATGTGGACAATAAGACAGCTATACTGAATTTACTCAAACGACACATGAAATAACAGAAGGATCATTAAAGAGGATCAGAAAGATAACGTCCACTGGCTGATGAAATCTCCATATGGTCTCAAATAGTCATCCCGCAAGATGAATAAACTAAACTACAGCACATTTGTGGAAAAAGTTAAAAAGTATATATGTTAAATTATCCCTATATGTACATAATATACAATTTTACCCAGAAATAATAAGAATGGGATAACTAAAAGAAAACCATAGTTAGGATCAAAATTTAGATAGAAAGACATGGGTAAGCGTCATATAAAAAAGGAATTGGAGTAAACAGAGATAGAAAATCTAATTTATTATACCTAGATCAATCTGAATATCCAAAAAGAAAGTACTTAAAAAGTGTTAAGATGGACAAATCACAGCAAGCAAAGGTCTATGTGCACTAAGAACACTAAAGAAAGAAAATTGAAAATATTTCATACACTCGCAGTTGAAAATTGATTTGAAGTATCCAAAGAAATCAATTTTGAACCAATATAAGTTCATAGCACTAATCCAACAAAGAGACTATATGCAAATACACATGTACAATTGTATACATACATATATATATGTGAGTATATATACGCAGAGTAGAAGTAAAATTCTAACCTCCACTCTCCTTCTTCGTAAGGTGAGTAGTCAATGTCCTCTCTTCTAACGCAATTGAACATCAAAGCGGCCAAAGATGCAAATATACCTACAAAATAGTAACGAACCAGAATTCAATTGAAACCCTAATATCAAACAAACAACGTAAATATATATATATATGTATAGAGAGAGGGCAGGACAGACCGGGTAGGTAGTGGAGGAAGGAGACCGTGACGGAACTGCAAACGACGGCGTCGACCCAAAACCACCAGCCGGCGCCGAATATGGCCCCTGCAACACCTGGTCCGAAGATCGCCCACACCTCACCCAAATCCATACCTTCAAACTCCGATGTTAATTATGCTCTAAAAAAATGATCGGATCGATTGATACAGATCCTTCTAGTCTGGTATACTATTATCAATTTACTTCAATGATGCCAATAACTTGCCTCCAACCTTTGTCTGCAAACACTGTGAATCCTAATGCTTCACCTTGACTCCTTTCACAGGCTACCCCTCTCTCTCTATATACAAACACATATTATATACACATTACCCAAATATTGGGCCTAGTTTTCCCAATTTGCCCCTTTACTCCAGCTATAAATGGAGTGTTTTGGCCCTTTTTGGTTGTTTGTTTTGATTTATCTAACCAAAAAAAAAAACATTGTGAGTTTGAAAATTTTACATGAATTTGAAATTGAAAAAAAAATATAGTTAAAATTTAAAATTAAATTTTTTATTTTTAATTTTAATTTTAAAATTTCACTTCTCCCAAACTTAACATAAAATAATTAGAATAGAAAATGGCTACTGCTATGTGATAATTAGAAAAGACAATATCATAATTAGACATTTAATTGAGTTCAAATTATAATCACTTTCAAATATATAGATTTCTAAATCATCGTTGCAGACATTGATTTTAAAGAATTTCTTTGGGCAAAAAGTTCAAGAAACTATTATTTTAATTTAGTTTTTGTTTTTCTAATTTTAAGTTAAGCAATATTTGTAATCGAATTATTTTCTCTGTTCTTAGTCTCTTACCAATAAGTATATCATACACATTAATATTTACACTTAGTTTCAACAAAGCTAGTTTCACCCAAACTTCATCCTCATCATGGCTACAATAGTCAACCTGGACTAAGGTCTTGGTGGTAATTATTTACACTCTTATAAGTATTATTCAATAATAATCAAAATGCATCGTTGGCAAGGATCTTGAAGTCTTACTTTTGAACCACACTCCTGATTTAAATGGGGCGTGGGGTCAAGGGCGGAGCCAGCATATGTCTGGCCTGCCCTATATAATATATATGAATTTTTTTACAAAAATTTACATATATATAGAAATTTATATATTATACCCCTAAAAATATTAAGTTTCTTTAATTTCTTTTTAAAAAAAAGTCAAATTTCCTTATTCAATCATATTGTATTCTGTTCATTCAAAATTCGTCATTTTTCTTTTCCTATTACTTCTTCTTCTTCTTTTCCTTCGTCTACTTCTTAAACTTTCTTTCTTTTTTTTTTGTAATGTGCCCCCTGAATTTAAATCCCGGCTCTATCCCTGCGTGGGCTGATACAATACACGTACTTTAAGAGAAGAAAAAAATTGTGAACTAATTTTACACTTACTAACCCAAAAAATAAATAAATAAATAAATTATGAACTAATTTCGAATGAGTAATACTATCAAAAAGGTATAAAATTATAAGTTATTCATATTTAATCATTGAATTGAAATTTGTATAAAACAATTCATTTGACTATTTACAAACGTCAAAAAAAAGTTCTTAATAGAGACTCTTGTTATAAGTAAACTTGAAAGTATTACTGATTTTGAACACACAGCAAATTTGAAAGATTAAGCAACATTTGGAATCTATGATTTCCCAATACGACTAAGGAAGCTGCTTTTATTATCTTATTACTTGACTTAAATTACCTCCAACTCCTCAAGATTTTGATGTTTTAACAACTCAAGTCGATGTTTACAAAAAGTTTTATTGTTTTTAAATTTTACAGATCTTTTAACTCCCACCCCAACTGCTGAGCAGCAAAAAGTTTTTACCAAATTCTGGCACATTTTGCCATTTGAATCATTTATAATTTTATACCGTATGATTGAATCTAATTTTCTTTGACTAAAGCATAAAAGTGCAGATGGCTTCTTCAAAAGAGTAGACAATGTTTGATGACATAAAATTAGTTCAAAGTTCAAACTAACAAGAGTCTTCAATTTTTATTCGTTGATCCATATCATTCCTGGTCCAGTTTGAAATTCTATAAGAATGCTGGAAATAATATTTAAAATAATATTTAAATAATTGAATCCACTGAGACCACCAATGAACATTTCTATCTTCATTGCAACATTTTTCTTTCATTATGTTGCTGAGCACATTCCAAAAATAAAAGCACAAAAAATAACAATTTAGTAACAAAATACATTGTAAATCATTTCAAACTTGCATAATCTGAATAAGATAAATTGCTTCAAAAATTATTGTTTTAAAGGTAGAAAAAGTTAATTCACGTAGAAATCCCCAGAAAATTCTCCCCATTTCTCATCTTCTGTTTCCATCCGCCGCCATTTCCAAACTGCAGTTTAGCTGATCGCAGAATACATTAAAAACATTTCCCATCTAGAAGACAGCTGCTAAACGCAGCAAAACTCTCAATAAACGCAGAAAATCCTCCCAATTTCTCATGGCACGTCGCAGTGGGAGGGGCAGAAAATTACGAGCAGAGTTCCAAACCACTCACGAAAGAAATAGCAAGAGCTTCAAACAGTAAAGTGTTAATTAAAAACCCTAGACCCAAAAATCACACAAAAAATGTGGCTCAAGTTCAAAAAAGTCCCCATAATTTTAATCCAATAATGCAGAAATCACACATTCAATTTTGGGGAACATAACAATTTCAGTTTCTAATTAACAACATCCTTAACTAACCTCCAATATTTTACTCTAAGTAACTTGTGAATCACCCATCAAATGCAAATGCTAATAATCTAACATCGTTGTGACATACAACGTAGTAATCTACTAACCCCACACAGAGATCTCCAAACAGCACAAAGTCCAGCATTTGTTCAGGAAAATGAACTACTTTAACACACGAAAAGGAGCAGATCGCCTGTAAAAATGCATTTCAAATTAAAGAAAATTTCGAACTCCATGATAGTGCAGCAAACTTCAATCAATCTTCACAACTTATACATAAACCTTGCAATAATTGATAATACACACTTCTTTTTCAACCATCTACTTCCCACATAGTTTATGTTAATATAGTACAGAACATCCAAGAGCTTAGGTTAACAATACAAAATATCCTAGTAAATCACAAGGACAAAATAATAAATTTTTAAGAACACAATCAAGAATCCTAATACAGGATGCTTTAAACACAGAATTAAATTTACAAATAAGGCTTAAAATAAAAATATAATTTTTTTTTTTTTTTGGGAGGGGTGCAGTCAGGGAAGGAGTGCACAAGGAATTAATTTAACTACTAGCTGCCAGCCTTCCTTCTGAAAATGAGGACCCAATTATCAACCAAGACGGACTCAATGTGCAGAGTCCGGGAGCTCAATCAATTCCAACAGAAGCCACCCCGACGTCCATAAAGATTGAACCCACCTAATATTGCTTACCGTAAAATGACCTGACAATCTATCATTTTTTTGAATGGCAAAAAATAACACACAAAAATTGTTGCAAGCCTCACAACAAAATTCCATTAAGAAATACGAATTAACAATTGATATAATAAAAATTAAAAAAGTCATTGCCATCAAAAATCTCTGTTGAAAAGAGGACATAAAAAACTCACTTCATCAATGAAATAAGGAAACAATGAGCCAAATACCCAGCACAAATGAGGCACAACACAACTGAAACTTTACTCAATAAGAACAATCACAAAAAGCCAATTTCTAAAATAAACTGCTGTTAGTGAACAAGTAAAATGCAAGCAATTTGAGGGTCTGAACAGGACCAGTCAAGGTGTGATATTGACAAATAATTAATGATCTTTACTAATCTGATGCTGCCTACAATTGCGAATTGACATTGTAAGATATATACAATAACTTTACAGCCCCTGCACAGTAGGCAATACCTTCTAACTCTCAGTATACGATTACAAGAAGCGGAGCTTCTGCTTTGCCCTTCAACCAGAAGAAACAAACATCAAGAGGACGCAATTTGAGCCACTTGAAAATACATGCAATGGTAACAAACCCTAACCCACTGTACACTTTGCTCTCACAATGAATATACAACAATGCTACCAAAACTTTCGTACCCAAACCAACTTACCCGTAATAAGGATGCGCTGGCTGGGACACTCTCGGCATAAAGTCTGCCATTCTCTTCAACGTTATAATAAGAAATGTATGGCAGTGTCCAGGTAGAAACACATCCACGATAGATGGTTGTTGGCCTCCAACGGTGTAATCAGACCCCCAAAAGGATATGTTGTTGGTCTACCCATCCCCATCCAATGGTTCTCTAGAACATGCGTCTGGGACAGTCTCCTCCTTTGAAAGGCATCGAATAGGAACATAAACAAATCCTTTAGGTAACCGCTGATTCTTCATTGATGCTTGATCTGACGTCATTACAAGCTCTTTTTCAAATGTTTCAGTGTACTGTGTTTATTTATAAGCAATGGTCAACATTTTCATATAGAGACATTCTTTAATTAAATACAAAACATAATAATTAGAGTGAACGTAACTTTATACCTTTCTGGACTTCGACCTCCTTTCCCCATCATCCGAAAGATTCCGTGATGCAGCAGATGAAGGTCTATGCGGAATTTGCTTCCCAGAAAATGATGCTCTCTCTTTAGGTCTTGGCATAAATAGATGTTGTGATGTGGAGCTGTCATCTGTTTTCTGATCATTGTCCATTGCCATTGAAAACTTAATTCGACGCTTACCTGAAACTGTGCTGTCTACAGTTATGTCATCAGATCTTTGCATTGCTTCACTACTTGATCTGTAACCATCTGTATGCCCTTTCAGGGATGTCGTAGCTGATTCTGAACTAACATCAGGCTGAAAGAAAGGACTACGAACAAGTGCAGACAAAGCAACAGAGTCTCTATTTGAAGCAAGTACACCATGTGAGCAGAGGACCAATTCACGCTGCAACATTTAAAAATATATTTACACACGATTAGAGGTTCAGTGAGAGAATGAACTTCAATTGCCAATGAACCAGATTAGTGAACCATAAAACAAGGGCTGCATACATGAAAGATTATGAGGTCACCACTTTAAAGCAGGACATTTGACAAGTTAATCTAGGCTTGCAAACTAGGAAACAGTTGGCGAAGCAAGCCTAGTCAAAAAATAGTATAGAAGGAAAAAATAGGTGCACCAAAATGCAAGATAGACCATCCTCACAAAGGTGGTTACAAATACCAAAAGGTTCAACGTGAATGAATCATCAAGTAAATTAAAATCAACTGGTTTGCAGAATCTATGAAGCAGTATCATTGGACAATATAACAATTTAACATGGTGATTGAATGGTTCAGAACCACATAATCGTCCCTCCTTGTACAAATGAAGGAAATTACTACCAATCTTAAGAAATCTGGTACATCAGTACTGTTGGAGAAATAAACATATACTATTTATATAAAGCCAACACTTTTATGGTGTTCCCATATTCTTCCTAAATGCAGGTGAGACTTTCCTACACAGAGGCTTTTGATTTAACAATTCAAATCATACCACATCATACATTACCCAAACTGCCCAAAAAGTCTCCTTTCTGAGAATAGAGATAGATAGATAGATAGAGAGACAAACACACACACACACACACACAGAGAGAGAGAGACTACAATACCTACCCAAACAGTACATTCACACAGAGGAACTAAACTGATGGAAACCGAACTAAAGTAAATGATACAATACCTACCCAAAAAATAAATTCGCACAGAGGAACTAAACTGATGAAAACCAAACTAAAGTAAATGAAAAAATTGTGAAGCAAGTACATGCATGTCCTCGTCCTTGTAGACGCACAATAGAAATAACAATTTTGTTCCATACTCCTATGCACAAGTCTGCAGTACAGGAATGAAATTTTGGCACTTGGTCCAGTTCATATGCATATTTAAATTGATGAAAAAAAAAAAAAAAAAAACATAAAATTCAATACCTAAAGTAAACTGGTTCAAATAAGCAAACAATATATTAATCATCCTTTTCTTTCCATAAAAGCAAAAGATATATCCACAACCCACCCCACCCCCAAATAAAATAAGGCAGACACAAAAAATATTACTATTGACTTCAGAAAAATACTTGCCTTCAATTTCTCCCGTTTGATGATTCTTTCACAAAGAAGACGTAATCTCTCCAATTCAACCTGCAAAATAGAATTCCATGCGGGGGCATGATCAAATTATTATGATTCATCTATCAAACACATACGACTGCAATACAACCTGAAATTTTGATTAACATGATAACATTAATCATTTAGCTAACTATTTAACCAATTCAGTTATAACTAGTGCTTGCAGGATTGAGAACATTGCAAAAAGAAAAACAGCACAATACAACCATACACAGACATATGCTAAGAAAAGCAAATATATAAAATGCTTGACAATAGGAAAATTCAGAAATGACAGGGATTGTATACATAGACAAGGGATGTACAACATAGCAAGCCCTTTAGATTATAGACATAAAGACAAAGTTGAACGCAAAAAAGGTATACATATCCTGATATATTACTTTTACTATTTATAATGTATGAGGTCAAACTAATTACCTGAAGTTATTTTATTTTAATTTTTTAAGAAAAAGGAAACATTTGTGAGGATTTTAGAAAACATTAGAAAATATATGAAATAATTAAGGAAACAGAGGCATTTGATGCAAAAGAACGTATAAGCTTATCTAAAAACCAATAATCTATACTATATTACTAATGCAACAAAATTTTCAACGCAACCAGCATTCCTCCTCAAATATACAAGAGGGAACGACATGTCTACTAAAACCAAATAAAATGAAATTAATGAATATTTCACCCAATTCATAATTAACGCCATAAACCATAAAAATCTGCCCCTTAATTCATTTCGTCAAATGACAGAAGCATCTGCCCGTGCAAGTGCCAGGTTAAGTTCTCTGCAGATAAGAGTTTACAGTCTGAAGCTGAAGATGCGGGAGATTTAGAGGGGCAGACTAAGACCCAAAACAAATAACATTTGAAACCTCGACTCAAACAAAACAAAAAGAGCATAGATATGCTGCAAATTGAGGCTCAAACATTTATGTCCTTGCGAAGAAACATATTGGTTTGTTTTTTCATCTTATAATCAGAGAGTCATTTCTCTGTCTTCACTTGTTTAAAGGGACATGTCATATCTTCTACTAGATTTAATTTTTTGAAACCATTTCTTATCTCTTTTTCCAACCCTCTCTATGTTGGTAGGTTCATTACATCTTTCACGAAAGCAAATACATATATAAAAATAATTAAACATACACCAGATATAATATCATATGTTCCCCATTACTCAATCCAATTCTCTCAAGCCTTTTTTGATAGGACTGCCGCAAAAAAAACCCAAATCTCAGTAATCAAATCGTGGTCAGGTAAATTTGAAGCCAAGCGTTAGATAGTCAAACCAGTCAAATTGCAAAATTTCAACCAACTAAATCAGGTTACAAATTGCTATTCAAATCATAAAATGCAAAGGGCCTAGAGGTAACAATGACCATCAGTTGTTTGGACAACATGATCCATCTTTAGATGTCATCAACTATTTAGACCTAAGTGAACCAAAAATTGCATATGATAACATATAACAATCTTGACCAGTAATTATAACTGTAATACAACTGGAACTGAATGCAAAGAATGAGCATGTATTGTTCTCACTGACCCTAATTTGCTTAAGGCTCTTCAACTCTTCTATTCCATGTTTTTGAGTCTCGGCCTGTAAAATTTCATTAAGGCAAAGATGAGAGACAAAAAATCATAGCATGTGACATTTATTTCACGAGAGAATAAACACACACACACACACACACAAACACAGAGCTTTGACCTTTGCTCTCTGCTCCAAGCTATGCTTTTCACAATAAGCCTTGTGCTGAAATTTGCCACCACCAGTCTTCAGATTCATGTAGAAGCCAGCACTTCTAGCACAAGAGGGATGAAAAGTGCTCTGACAGTGGCCATAATTACACTAACAAAGAAAATTGCAGTTATCAACATCTTAGTTCTAATCAATCTTCTTGACTTCAAGTAGAAAATTCAAAATAGAGCTATTGCAATCTTCACCTTTACACAGACACCTTGTTTGCGACGGCAGATGTGACAAACATCACTCCCCTTAGAGACGGACTCCTGGAATTGTTCCGTGATATATAGTGAGAATGGTACACATTACAAGGGATTGTCAAGGTTTACCGTAAAAGATAGCATAACCAGTAAACACATATTCCACAAATTTATGCCAGATTTTACCACTCATGCAAACAGTGGTAAACTTCTGATATTTTCAGTAAACAGATGAACCGCACAACATAATTCTAATTGTATCAAATCCAATCACATATACATCAACATACCATTCCTTCAACAGGATTCACTTGTCCTCGTCTGAATGTTGATTCTAACACCCACTACATAAACAGAAAAAAAAAAATAATAATAACAAATGTTAATAAGAATAAAAAATAATTCTTTTACCAAGAATGAAAAAAGAAAAGGCTTTACCTCAGCACAGAAGGCATGGATCCATTGACCATCAGTTGACTTTCTAAATGCACCAGCAGTGCCACCACATAAACCACATTCCGCAACAAAATAAGGCTTCTCCCAAGAATTGACAGCTGGAGTTCCAGCCCATCTAGATGGCAATAAATCTTCACATAATTCACAGTACCATGGACCTGTAGAATCTCTAGCACTACGATAGCAATCCAAGTGAACTGCAACCTGATAAAGAGAAGAATTTGTTAGAACTCAACTATACGTGCAAAATTTTTGAAAGTAATTGTGTCTAAATTTAGCAAACCTTGCAACCCGAACAGACTAAAATTGGATTCAAAACTGTCTCAGACCGCCTGCATATGTCACAAGTTCTAGGATGTTCTCTAAAGAATTCTGAGGTAGACTGGACAATTTCGGAATTCTTTTCTGATGAAACACGTGCAACAGCCAACCTTGAAGGTGTTTCCTCTGCTCGTGGCATCTGCTGGGAGTAAAGACCACCCATTCCACTAGAAGTGTTAACTCTCAATAGATTATGCGCAGAAAGAAAAATAGCAATGTTTATGATAAAAAAGATAATAATAATTAATTCACCAGCTCTCTTATAACAACTAGAAATAATGTTATGTTAATGAGACAGAATTTACAACCTCTTGGTGAGCAGTTTCTTCAAGGGTATCCTTCCTGAATGATGAAATCCTAGAGGACGCTGCTGCGGCAGCAGTTGCAGCAGCAAGCACAGCCTGGGCTTCTTTGTGCCGTCTTTCTTTTCTTCCCTGTTTTTTTGCTTCTCTAAGCTCACAAAGATATTGGTTAGCTAGTACAGAATCCCATTTTTGCTTCCCTACATCATTATTTTCCCGCGGTAGACTATTCACAACCTTGCAAATTAAATCATCTGCACAGACATTACATACGAATGCAAATGGTATGGTCAGATATCTATATGATACAGCACAAATACGCAATTCTGAGAACCACAGTCTTAAAATACTTTCCTTCTAAGTAAAAGGAATGGAGAAAACAGAAAGCCAACAAACACCCAAAAGGCAAAAAAGGGGCAAAGATGATACCACTATAGTGCTTTCTTGCAACCGCATTGTAAAGTAGCCTAGACTGGTTAAATATAAGCTCCCCTTCAACTTCATCTTCCGGGGACAATTCTAAAATTCCCATATTCCTGGCCTTCACCAAATGTTCTAAATTCACTCCATCTAATTTAGAGATCGTGTCTGCAGAAGTTGAATATTGATTTTGGTGGTCACAACAAATGCCAGAGCTGGAAGATGCCTCCAAAGGATAGATTTCTGGGTTCCTTGCACCTGCAAAGCGAAGTAAAGTAAGTAACCACATGACCTGAACAAATGTGAGAGACAAGCATCAAATAAGACTTTACCCTCAAACTCGCAAGTTGTGTAATCTGAAAGAAACCCATTCTGCATCTGCAACAATTTGTTGTGGATAAGTGGATGAATGTAAGAGCTAGACTCTGCTGCTTTTCTGCATTAAGCAAATGTAGAAATTTGTAGATAATCAAGTAAAACCACATAATTCATGAATAAAAAGTAAGCAAGAAATGCTTCCCAGCAGCATCAAATGCCTCATTGAGAATAAATCTACAACAAAAAGTTCATTTCCAAAAGCTTACATGACATCAGGGATGTGATTTGTAATAACGTTGGAATTTTCTGGATTTAGATTCTCAGTGGCATTCTGCTCATAGGATGTAGCCTCCTCTACTGCACCAATTAAACATACTTCAAATTCATTAAAGGTTACAAAATCTTAGAGCTTGACATAGATGAAAAGAAAACAGGAATTGTGCGGGAATTGTAGCTTCTCCATGTAAACTCGATTTTACAGAATTACAAACAATATAACAAAAACTACTAAGTAATATGCCAAACAGGCCTGCACCATCCCCTCCCCCCAACCCAAATAATAATAAATAAAGCACACACATTTATGACTATATAATGAAGTATTGAACAACACGGCATAGAGCAGCAGTCATTAAATTTGACCAGCATAAACAGGAAGAAAATTAAATGATCATCATAAAACAAACCTGTAGGCAGTGATTGATTGTTTACCAAAGTATCGTCAATCTCAACAGGCTCAACCAAAATCTGCCCAAACAGGAAACTGTGTTATTAAAAATATCAACTTTAGTTGTTCGAATGAAAACCTATGAAGAACAAGTGGAGCATAAAGAAACCTTCCTAAAGAGGTGGTGGGATGCTAGTGCTTGCAACGACTATAGTGATTGTGACAGAGGCCTTAACAGTTCAGAGAATTATTGTGATAAAAGTAGTGGCCATAATAGACACAACGGTGACTCCAGGGCACCTGGAAACTAGGACCTTTGTCTTGCCTTGCAATTTGGAGTTGACAACTCTGGTAAATAATGCATTTGAATTGAAGTTTGCCGCCCAAAAAATGGAACAACCCACATTTTACAGCATTAGGTTTAAATTATTAAGTAGTAGGAACTGTGATTATCGGAACGAAAACTTGGAAATCAACTTACAGCACCGATCAAAATAGAATAGAACTACCAAAGGTAAACAAGAAAGCATGGTGATATCATCACCCCCGAGGCAAGTACACAGTATTGGGATATCATCACCCCCTAGGCAAGTACACAGTATTGGGATATCATCACCCCCTAGGCAAGGACCAACATGTAAAATATGCAATATCACTGAAAGCCCAAACAGACAGGGTGAGGAATACCAGCTTACATTTACTGGCTGTCCATCACTATAATATCAATAGCATCACCGTACAAATAAATAAGACCCTGTTCAAATATGACCTCCATGCAGAAAAGGCAACAAACATTAATCTACATGTAACACTGAATAAAGATGATGTGATGGTGTGTGAAGTCATTACACTAAGTAGACCCAAAATAAATTAGGGCTGGCATCACAGTGACTTAATTAAAGCAGGAATGTTCTTTTCTGATAACCCCAATTCAATAAGGCAGCAAAAGAGGAGTGCTACAGATGGGGAACGAAAATCATTTTATTGAACATGAAAGAATCTAACAGATCCACATTGTTTACATTTCTAACCTCAAGACTATGGGTGGATTAGAAGAGTTCTGGTGGATGATGGACCACATAGCGTAGACAGAAGGGTACCGATACAAAATCTTAGCAAAAATTTATTAAGAGAAAAGAATGCCAGCAATACGCTGAAGCTATCAAAGAGCGGCAGGAAAGAACAAGTTCGACAGAAAAAATGAAAACAAAAAAGAGAAGACTCAAGAAGAACTGAATGAAGATGACAACTTCTAAACACCTACTCTGAATCATCTCCTCTCATTTTCAAAACTAACAAATGCTTCCATGGAGTAATTGAAGATTCACTCAGCCGCCACAAAGACATAAACAATTTAAGAGAAGTTGATCAAAACAAGGGGAAATAAGCCAAACTAACAATTAAAATTAAACAATCTGTTACACTAATATGAAGTGATATATAGACAACAAATTATGCCTTACTTATCAAAATAAATATTATGCCTTGAATTATTTGGCCCTAACAGGGCGTGTGCCTGTACCCAGTGGTAGCACATAACAACTAATACTGTTGGAGAATAAAACCAACGAGATATTTCAAACATTTTAAACAAAGTAATCTGAGTTGTTTTACGTTTCAAAACTAAACAATAATGAGAAAGATCACCAATAAAAACATTAAGAGCAGAAACCATCACAAAAAGAGGTAATTACCTTGTCAGTAGCATCAGGAACAGATTCTTTACTTGAATAATCTGGGTTTTCACTGACAATTTGATCTTTTTTGACCTCTTCTGTCACTATTCCATCATCACTGACCATTTCCTTAGATGAGCATATAACTTTGTTATCCTTAAAAATCCTGATGTTGCTTTTGGTTCTTCTACGAGGTGGTACAGATTTAACACGAACATCAGAGATATCTGACTCTGATACTGTAATAGCATCAGAATCACCAGTGACTCCCATCTCATCCTTGGACACAGGCGCGGATTTAATTTTAACTTTCAGATTTTTCTGTAAAGTACCAATATAAGCATGATTTTTTAGCCATTTGACTATTTTGCAACGCATGTCAGGGACCAACTGACCATCCTGCAGGAAAGAAAGACAAACCACACAAAAATCAAAACAATGGAGGGGAAAGATGGCAGCTACAATTACTTATACACGAGTATCATGTGCATGTTTAGGAGCAATTAGACATTTCAAAGTTAAGAATCTATTTACAGACATGAAAAAATAATATAAGTGAACATTACAGCAAGCATCGATGCCAATGAATCAGGTGAAAAGCCAATATCTGAGGCAACATCCTTTACATTGACTTTTCCTCGATCAATCAACTGTAAAACAAAAGAATGTAGAGCTTAAAACAAAATTGACTTATACATAAATGCCTTCACCAAATGAAATTACAAGAAAAAAATACTGAATATTCCGCTGTGTTTGGAATGGGAGGATTTTACCAGAATTGGACTTGAAATAGGATTTTAGGTGTTTGGAATGTGTGGGATTTTAAAAGAACTGAGATTTGACGGGATTTCATGGGAAATATAATAACGTAAATAAATCCGGGGAAAATTGAAGGATTTGACAGGATTTGATAACTAACTACTTAACTTACTAAAATACCCTTTTAGAAACCCTTTTCACAAGTCTCATCCTACAAACTGTTTTATGTGTCTCATCCTAAAATTGTACAAAATTTATGTCTTTTCAAATTCCCTTTTACAAATCCCATTTTATTCCAAATGGAAACTAGAATTTCATATTAATTACAATCCAATTCATTTTCCAATTCTAATTTCAAATCCCAGAAATATTTGATTCCAAACAAAGCATAAAAGTACAAATATGTTCAGCATACCTTCTTTAGAATCAGAACGAAATCCACGGAGTCAGATGTGTCAACATCTTCACCATTATTCCCCTCTACTGTCAACATATTAACACGTTGCTGACCATCGCCACATTCTGACTGAAGTTTGGAATTTGTTCCATTATCCAACGGTCTTTTTTCATGCAACAGTCCATCACCCAACTCATTAATATTAGTATCAGTTTTTTCAACGTGGATAGCCATTTTATCTCCATTTTTTCGGCCAAGTTTTAACTTGTGCGATTTGCTCACTGTTGAAGTCAGTGCTTGATGTTCCACAGCTAAGGAATTAGAGCCAACCGCCATAGACAGGTCTCCTGCTTGTTGGGTGCTACCACTACTCTGAACTTCTGAGTGCTTTGAGCAAAAAGCCCGTAATTCAACCTATAGAAGTTTTGAAAGGAAAAAGAATTTACTCAGCAAGCCACATTACACCATAGAGGTAGCGACCATATGAAAAATAACAGCATCATCAAAAAGACACACACACACACAGTATTTCTACAAATCCAGAAAGCTAAGTAAGGCTTACATCATCGCATCCAAATTTTCCCCAAATCTCCATTCTGTGTCTTGCCTCCCTTGCACATATAGGATGAAATGAAGTCCTGCAAGTTCCTAAACAAACATGAAAATAAAGAACATGTTACCAGCAGAAACGTCTACAAATTGAACATCCCAAAAAGGGAACATGCATAATGAATAACCTTTTTTATTTAGGTAGGAGGGGTTTGGGAAGGAGGGTTCACAATCACTTTAATTATAAAAAATAGCCTAAGACAGTAGCAACACTTTAATTTAGGCTAACATGCAAACTGCAAAGACCAGAGAAACACACAGAGAATGTAGTTTTAAAAAAATATATCCTTAAAATCAGATGTAATCAAACTTTAAAAAACCATAGGAGTAAAATTGACAATCCAACTGAAGAGAGAGGGAGAGTAAAATTGGTAAATTAGTGCCTGCAAGGCAAACAAGCGTGCGACTCATGGCATAAGTAGAGAGAGAGTAGACATGATTTGTGAAACTGAACTCTTATAAACAACCTCCAACACATGGAGTGCAAAGAGCACTAATAAACCCAGAAGTTTATGAAAATATAGCGGCAGGATTATCACAAGCAATTATGAGGACCAATATGGGAGAAAAGTTATAGAGAATTAAATTAGTCCTCCCCTAAGAAAGGAGACCTACTTGATGAAAAAAAAAAAAACAGATCTCCTTTTTATTGTGAGTAAAGAAGATACACTGTTGCTAATTATTGTACATTCTAATACTGAATGCGCTGGTTAATCTGAAAGAAGAGAAAATACAGGATCGCTAACTTCTGTAAAATATTTCCAAGGTATATGCAAAACTTTTTAATTTCCTACTCAAACTCATGCGCTGTATTTGCAAAATTTGCAACAATAAGGGTTAAATTTCTCATACTAAATGGCACCCCCTAATTGCAATTTCCTATTTATTCTCATGATCCTAACTTGGAAGTAAATGAAAAGTACTCATCCAAGTGGAGCATTATGGCAAAGATCAAAATTAAAAATAAAAATTGCCAATTTCTTTCTCTCTTTTCTTTTGGGATAAATTTCACAAAAGCCCCAGAATTTTTTTTTAAAAATAAAATCCTAAACTATTGAATCAGGAGTAAACTCCCCCCCCCCCCCCCCCCCCCCCCCCCCTTCTCTTTCTCTTCCTCTTCTCTTTCTGAGGAAAATCCATCATTTCCATTTGTTGTTAAAGCTCCCATAAAATAATGCCCTTAACTTATTTTCCTAATTAGTTCAGGATTTTTTTGGTGCATCCATCATATCCATTTTTTTTTTCTTTTTGAACTAGGAAAAAAAAAAAGATTTTTTTGGTAAATCGTGAGTAAATACAAAATATTGGTCGGTGAAATTTTTTAGATCCGTCATTCTTATTCACTATTAGCACCCCCATAACAAATCGGCCTTATTTGATTCTTTCGTTAGTTCAAGATGTTTACTAATAGATTAGGGGGCAAGGGCAAGGGATATACGAAAAAACACATATAGTTCAGGGGGTTGTCAAACTAACACCCTTTTTCTTGACAAGTATATCCAATGGACTGCCTAAAGTGAAGTAGAAACTACGTACATGAAAACTAGAAAAATACTAAAGCAAAACTCATCTGATAAACTAAAGCCTCTACAGAAATCTTCAAAAATATATCTGTCAGGAAGGTCAAAACCGACTGTTCCAACTAATAAATCAGTATCTCTGTATTTATCAAAAATAAAAAATTAAATCAACATCTCCACATCTTTGTAGTTTGACGTGCTCCTATTACACTCTTTCCAAACACACCACGAAATCAGTATCTCTGCATTCCTCAAGTCCACCTATTATGCTCTTTTCCAACACCAACATATGTTGCATAAAACGACTGCCTGTCACACCACCAAAGCCTGCTAGCTCTTCTGCCATTGCAGCTACTGCCAACTCCAAAGCACCTCTCCCATAAATCAAGGTTCATCCAATATACACCAAAAAGGGACACTAGCAGACACAGAAGCTCATCACCACAAATTATAAAATATATTCCAAAACTATGTATTAAATGAAATGGAAGTAATGCCACTGATCAGCCATAACTATTTCAAGATTCTCCAGACCATAAACAAGATAAGAGAAAGGAAGAAAACATCATATTCGAATCAAAAACTTTAAGCCCTTCTTTGATAGGAAGGAAAGAAGGAAGAGGGGAGGGAGGCAAGAGATGATGGAAGGAGCAACTCTCTATTGTTTGGTTTGAGGAAGAAGAAGATGGGGAAAAATAATGGATGAGGGCATCCTTCTAGACCCATCATTTTTCATCCATCCAGACTAGATTGTTGAAAGTTTGGTACTTTACAATTTAGACAGTGAACAATATAATGGCTAAAATAAAAAGATAAAACCTCTCTCCTCTTTCCCTACTTAAAAATGAAAGGTCTCACCTCCTTCCCCTCTACCTTCCAAAGAAAAGGATGACGCAATACCTTTCCCTCCTTGGGGATGCCTCTTCCATCCATCCTACCCTCCAATTCCATCCACTCCTCCATCCTTCTTAAGAACAACATGTACTCATATAAGATGCAAGCCTAACAATAAGACAACAAGAAAAAAGCCATGTAGCAATTCATATGGTGCAATAGGTTAATAAGACTTCATCTCATAAGCCTCAACTAAGGGGTGCACATCGGGAAAAAAGGATAAGTTAAAGCAATTAATTGCTAACGCAAAACAAATTAATGAATTCCTATGACCCTACAAGATAGTTGTAGAAATGGAAATATAGTAACACACAGCACCATAAAAGAATTCTTAATTTCAATTTAAAGGGAAAAATCTACATCTCTAATTAAGGAGGATGCCAACAATAAATACCTATTTGGAATCCAATACACTACAAATTTAGAAGGACTATAATCCAAGGTGGAAAACATAACCCGCTGCAACAAAAATCAGAAGCTGCAGAAGAATGAGACTGATACTTTTACTTGTTGAAAACTGAGAGAGAAAATAGTGAGAGTCAGCAAAATCATCCTTTATTTCTTTATAAAAAGTTGAATTTGAACAAATGTAGGTATCTCTTAGCTACACCCACCAATCAATTGAATAATCCCTCAACAGATAGTTGCAACCTATCATTGGCATGTTAATTCCGGATAAGTAACTCTTAAGAGGTAGAATAAGAAAGAGAATTAGCAATCAACAGCAACTATTTCTATTTAATCCAATAGGTTTTTATAATGTTACAAGTACAGTACACAACAATCAACATATACAAGAATCCAACACTGTTCAACAGCTTAGAGGAAAAAACATACAAAATGAAGTCAAAACATGTATTCAAGATGTCACAAAACAGCACCATTTACTGTATATAAGGCTATCAGCTTAAATATGTTCAAATCAAACTAATAGAATTACAATAGACATAAATTCCACATAACAAAATGCTCTCCAGGTGCAACATCCAACAAAGAAATGCAGTGTGGAGTACAATAAGGAAGCAACAAACATACCGTTACTGCACCGAACACAGGCGCCAAACTTCACCTTGCATAAATAACATACTAATTTTCTCCTAGTTTCCTTTATTCCCTCGATATTCATTATTGGCTCCATTGTCCTCGTATCCTCTATGTACACTTCAGGCATCCACTGACAACAAAACAAGTGAACAAACTCCAGACTCCTGCCATTTTCGCTTATAACACCTTTCTTGCGGACAGGTTTCAAAGCACCACCCTGCTTTGGGCATAGCAAACAGGGCCTGTCAGCGCTGTGGACTTCGCTCTTCTGCTTACACCAATAACACAACCAAGAATCAACTATGTTATGTTGCACACCATAGCACCTCTGATGAACTGCCACATTACAAGAGCTACAAACAATCAAGCGGTTCAACTGGTCACCTGAATCACCCCTGCTACAATATTGGCACAAAGAAGAAGACCCTTCAACTGGACCTGCAACAAGAAGTTTTTCTAAACCTGCATCTCCACCCAAAAGTTTCCGTTTCTTAGAAGGCCGCTCAGAGGTGAGATATATCTTACTCCTAGAACCTAAAAGCCACTCTACACCACTGGTACACGTTGCTGACTGCGACAGAGAAGAATATCCCTTGTCTTCTTGATTCAAAACATTAGCTCCTACACTATCAACTTCCATAAACTGCTCAACCTCTTCTTTAACCTCTTCTTCTTTAACCTCCTCTTCTTTAACCTCCTCATTTGCGATCCCACCATTTGCCCCATTCGTCCCATTGGCAATGTCATCATTCCCAATACTATCCCGAGAATCATTTCCCAATAATGGAATCAAAAAACACTTTTGAGTAGCTGAAAACCCAAAAGAAGACACTTCATACAACTTTTCAATATCGTCTACTGTCAATTCTCTGAAGTACTCCTCAGTCTCAACCCAAGTGTTCGACCCCCGAACTTTATCTGCCCTGCCCGCCTTCGACGACTTTGCTTCAACACCCGAATGGGACTTCTTGTGCCGCTTCCGACTATCTGAATGCTTTAGCAGAAAACTGGCTAACCCACAAGGAAGAGTGGTGATAGTAGAGACCTGACCATCCTCAGAATCGAAAGGGGAACGATCAGAGAGCGCCTTGCGAGCCTGCGTATAAAAATCTACATCTGCTGCCGCTAATTTATCAACGTCCGGCGGCTGTTTCGCCGGAAATGTGGTCGGAACCCTAAAAATTGGGCCAGGCTTCTCCTCTGTGCCGCAACCTCCGTCCGCACCCCTGCCCATCATCTTCCTCTGCCGGTGACATCGGACTCCGGTCATCGCCTCCACCACTCTCGACCACCACCACCACCTCCGCATTCCATGACAATAGAACCCTAACCCTAACTCTAACCCTAGTCCTAATTTATTCCTAATCGACTTGCTCGGAGAGAGAGTGCGCGACTCTAGAGAGAGGGAGGGTGTGTCTAGGGAGGGATAAGGTAAAGGGGGGTTCGCGGCTAGGGTTTTCTGTTATTCGTATTTTGTTCTCTTGGATCCGTTTTTTTGAGTGGTTTTGTTTTCTCAGTTCGATTTTGGGTATCGGGGATGAGAGAGAAAGAAGAGAGAGAAAGAGAGATTCGCGTTTCTTGCAGGCAGACAAGGCGGTTCGTTTTAAAGAGATATTTTTATAGTGGGGTCGTTTAGTCCATGTGTGACGTAATACACTTGTACTCAATTTAACGACGCTATTAATAGACGTGGCACATTCGAATGAAGCACTTGTGCACCACCTCATCCCTATCTAATTTTTTTAATTATATATCAAAATGTCCGCTTTTCCAAAAATATAATGTTGACTACAAAATTAACAAACTAACATTACCACGGGAAAAAAATTAAACTAACCAAATGAAAAAACAAATTAAACTAATAAAAAATTTAAAGGCAAATTACACTATAACCACCTATGTGGTTTGTGAATATTACAGGACTTTCCCTCTCAGATATAACACTCTCCTCCCTTGAGATTGTCATATATTTCTCCTCGCCCTAACCGAACATAGAAAAGACATCTATATCCTTGTTGATCAAATTAAAATTACTTGTTTACCCTTTCTTTTATGAATCTCATGGAGAATTAAGCCTAAAATTTCAAAGGATTTTGATTTGTTCTGAGAATCATTTCCAATCAAACCATATTTGTACTACCAAAAAATAAAGTATATACGTGTGTTTGCTTGTTTGTGTAAATGATCCTACTAGCATCAAGTTCTATTAAAATTTGTTCTCTTATGTCGTGTTATGTCTAACTCGTATCCAATTTGTTCTCTTATATCGTGTTATGTCTAACTCTTATCCCATTTGTTAATTAAGCCATGCAAGTTGGATTGTCTTACTTATTTTATATAATTGTGTCTTAATCGTGTTTGGTGTTAGAAGTTTTTAGGAACTATGTCTCAAATTCCCATTATTATTAGTTTCTATTTTAGAGTGTATTTTTATGGTAATTTATTGTAGAGACGTGAATTGGGCTCTAAGAAATTGTAATCCTTGTCCACAAAGGAATTGGGTATGTGACTCTATAAATAGACACTTAGGTTATTGTTGAGAGTTATGAGTTGAGAGAAATGTAACATCATAAGGGAGTACGTTGATGGTAGGGGTGAGTTGCAGGTTTGGTAGAGTGAACACTGATGGCGAGAGGGAATCTCGTGGAGTACACGGAGAACTCGGTCAAGAGTTTGTGTGCATGGTCCGGTGTTGAAATCCTCTACTATTGTAATATCTCTACATATATAGTGAATCTCTTCTCATTCGTGGATGTAACCATGATTTTAGGCAAACCACGTATATATCTTGTGTTGTGGTTTGAATTGTTGTTTTCTTTCTTTCTTTTGCTTCCGCTGTGCCCCAACTGGTATCAGAGCTAAAGGTGAAGGAGATCCAGAAAACACAAGAAGTCTCAACATGTGCTACAACGAGCTTCAGCTGTAGGTGGAGTCAATCGGTTTGGTTACATGGCATAGAGCTTGAGTAGTCAAGGTGGAGCCTTGGGGTTTGACTGATTGAGCAACGTATGAGTTATGCAATAAGATCGAGAAGATTGAAGTTGTAGAGAATTGTCTAGATTTAATTGCCATATGAGAAGCGATGATTGACTTAATGGAATTTGAGCTAAGGTGGAGATTGTTAGGAATTATGTCTCAAATTCCCATTATTATTAGTTTCTATTTTATACTGTATTTTTTAAAGATAATTTTTTATAGAGATGTAAATTAGGCTCTAAGAAATTGTAATCCTTGTCCGCAAAGGAATTGGGTATGTGACTCTATAAATAGACACTTAGGCTATTGTTGATAGTTATGAGTTGAGAGAGATGTAGCCTCATGAGGGAGTACGTTGATGGTAGGGGTGAGTTACGGGTTTGTTAAAGTGAACATTGATGGCGAAAGGAAGTCTCATGGAGTACACGGAGAACTCGGTCAAGGGCTTGTATGCATGGTCCGGTGTTGAAATTCTCTCATATTGTAATATCTCTACATACATAGTGAATCTCTTCTCATCCGTTGATGTAACCCTGATTTTGGGTGAACCACGTATATATCTTGTGTTGTGGTTTAAATTATTGTTTTTCTTTCTTTCTTTTGCTTCCGTTGTGCCCCAACAGAGGTGTCTCACGTCAATTTTGATTAGAAAGTGAAATGGGAATAAATGGGTTGGGTGTCAGTTTCACCTAATAGGCTAAAAATTTTGAGTCAGATCGTGAAACACTCGACCTGTTATAGTTGGTATTATAGTCAGACTCAGTTTTTTATCATGTGTCACGCCAAGCGTCTAATCCGGAAGTGTCCGAGTGTACCCCCAAGTAAGTAGGATGAGCCGACCACAACAAGAGCATTGCAAGTTCGGGTTGGGAGAATAGTACAACCTAATAACTTAAACTTTTAGGTTGAATCACAAAACACTCACCCCGTTATGCTGAATTCTTTGACACAAACCATAGTAATCATGTTGTGTTTTGTCAATTCTTTCAATTTCAAGGCACTAATAAAGGGCTTCCAAACATAACATATAGGTTTAGGTATGTTGATGTTGAGTATAAGTAAGGTGGTGTTTGATAAAATTAACAATGAGGTAACTAAAATTTTAAGATTTGGATTTTAAGTATTGGAATTTCGAAATGTTAATTACAAGTTGGGATTTTTCACATGTTTTTTCTTTTAAGACTATTACTATTAGTGAGTGAAGTCCATTACACTTTACTCTATTTTAAATGGCACTTAACTTTTTAAGTGATATTTAAATTGCATTATCAAATGTACAGTATTAAATTATTTTATAATCTAAGTGTTGAAAGGAAAATAACACCCAAAATATGTAGATCATGAGACAAGGAATCCATAGGGTTAGTTTGGTTAGCGTCAACTAGCTAGAAAGGAAAAGAAATGGGAAATTTTTAAATTATTTGGTAGTTTGGTTTGCGTGAAATGAAAAATTTTCAGGAAGGTAAAATTCCCGTAAATGGTTGATTTTCCTTAAAATGTTTCCTCTATAAAACACGTGAAAATTTCAATTTCGCGTGAAAGTTATATCATTATGTGTTAGTTTCCAATTATACCCTCAACAGTTATTTCTCTTCATTCTTTTTAGACTCACAAAAGCAGTGACTTCTTTTTGGTAAATTAGGACTCTTACTTATATTACAACTTTCTAACTCTTTAAATTAGGACTCCTAATTAAGTTACAATTTTTTGACTTTCTAAATTAGGACTATATATATATATATATATGCACGCATATATATTTTAATTCATAAAACAATTATTTATATTTTTTATTATGCTTGTTGCATGATGTATTTTACTTAGTATTGAATTCATGAGGGTAATTTTGGTATATAAATCATTTTATTTTCACTTTCTTGCTAACCAAACTAATGAAACAACATTTTCCCACAAATTTTTTACAAAAAAATCATGCTAACCAAATACATGATAGAAACTTAATTTTATTTTCTTTTACTTCATTTTCTTTTCCTTTCACTTTCTATCATCAATTTCCGGCTAACCAAACGAACCGTTAGGGATATGAAATTATACTTCAACTAATTGATTAATATTCCATTTGTATTGAAGGACTTGATATGAAAAGGTTTGCATTAAATAATTTAAAATATATATATATATACATGGTATAAATTTTATATTAAGTAGTTTTGGTTTAAGTTCTAATAATAATGTCTATATTAATATGAGATCAGCCTCGTAAACAATAATTTCAAATATAGTTGACAAGTCTTCAACTTTCTCCAGCGACAACACCCCACTCGCTAATAAAGATATTACCTCGATCCTGCTAAATATTCCGAGAGAATGTGTTCAATAAAAGAATCTTAGCCTCCTAGCTGTGATTGATAAATCAAATTATGAAGTGATCAAATCCATTGAGAATAAGCTAATTGATAAAATTAAAAATTGGAAGGTTAATAATCTCTCTCCTCGTGGAAGACAAATGTTGTTAAAGTTAGTTATCACATTTATCCCTACATTTGCAATGACTTGTTTCAAAATTTCAGAGAGCTTATATAACAAATTGAATAAGCAAATAGACCAATTTTGGTGCTCAGGGACGAAAGATGTTCACAAGACCCACTGGATTGCGTAGGAAATTTTAGTAAAATGACAGGGTTCAAAAATTTGAAATCTTTTAATTTGGTTATTCTCACTAAGTTGAGGTAAAGGTTGCGATATTTCCAATTTTTGAACTCGTGTTAATCAAGTCTTCGTTTAAAAATCGGGGGATATCAAACAATTAATATTTTAAAACAAGCATAGAATACAAAACGAAATAAAAATAAATTAATACGCTGAAAGGAAAACTAAATAATAAATAAATAATAACTCCTCAGCTAATAATCTCAATAAATATCCATCAATAAGATTCTCCATAATACAATAATTCATAAATACAGGTTCCCTAAATAAATCCCAAAATTGAAGTACTACTAAAGTATAAACAATGAATTAAATCTAAGTAATGTCCACCTATGTAGACAATCTGGAAGAGTGAATATGAATGATCTCTAGTCAGCATTAACAAACTCTAAGTCTCGAACTGTCGTGGACCTGAAAATAAACAGTGGGTCAGACCCATAAAAAGTTATTTCTATAGCCACTTAATTAGATAACCGATAAACGATACACCCCTAGCTAAACTTATGCCATAACTACATAGTCGATACATATACATATATATATATATATATATATATATATATATATATACACATACACGTATTAGAAAAACACCTACTTTATATAGGGTTGCCTCAACCTAATAGCAGATATCACTCAACATCGCACACGAAGTGGTCAAGTGTCCCTTCTACTATCAGGGCTGACAAATCACATATTTGAGCTACTTGTCTCATCCGACAATTTACATCTCAATCCAAATCACTGATCCTGATACCTCATATTTGTATCATTGCTCACATATAAATATATAATAATATCATCAACAAGTCACATATAACAATGGCACATAATGTAATATGTCTTAACTTATTAGCTAGCTCACTTACTCAACAAATACAAAAGTTATATCTAACAATGGTATAAAATATCAAGGAGTCTATTGTAGGTGCAATTTCTCAGACCCGAGT